GTTCTTGCTTCCTTGACTACGTGTTGATACTGTTTGAGGCTGTCTTTCCAGGCGAGGTGAAATACTGTGAGGTGTGTCTTTTTCCATTTCCGTTCATATTGTTGGCAGGTGCGTAATAGTGTGCGAGTATTTTCATTTTCATTTTCATTTTGGCTATTCTACCCACGTTGTGACAAAATAGGTGACATATGAGGTCCAGTGTGTGTGGTAAATGTCTGTTAAGGTAGTTCCATGCACCATCAAACTTTTTGGGACGGAGTGTTTCGGCCCCGACACATATTTTCACAATTTGTAGACATTTTGGGACATGCTTGATTTTTGGTGTAGAGCTTGTTTTGGGCCTTTACAACACTATAGTATGCATGGAAAAATGGGGACCTAAAATAGTCCCTGTATTTCCTCAGGTTCCTATATTGAAGGTGTGTTATCATACAAAAGTCCTCATATGTCCACAAAACAAACACACAGTACACACGACTCATTCTAAACCTACAGTTGGAAGCACATTATTTCTATTGTTAATATGCTTCAAACAACATGGATAAAGGAATAGGAATTGTGACTAGAAAAGGAATTGTGACTAGATCCACCCAGATATTGTTAGTTTAACAATATTCTTATGGTGGGATGTTGTTGTTGACTAATGTTGCATCTGGCTAAAATCCATGTGGCTTATCAAGAGAAATCGCTTCCCATGCCAAATGTTTACAGTTATGCAACAGCAATATCCTCCACATCCGCACAATAGAATAATAGCTAACTCAACATGAGGACATTCCTAGAGCGACTTTTTGCTTTCCCATAAAGGCACATTCCTAAGTGTACTTGGGAGAAAGTGGAGAGACTTGAGAGGCCCAGACCGGTGGATATAGGAATTTCCAAGGCATGCAGAGAGTGTTTTGGAGGAGCTGGACAAGTGTTGAACTGGGGGCCCCTTTTGTCACCCACCAGGGCTTGTTGGAGCCTCTGGGGCCACATGCACTTGGCTCTGTACACCCTCACATCAGCTCATTCTTCAGTGACAGCACAGGCCAGCATCAATGAGTCATGGCAGCAGCGTTCGCCAACTTCTCTCCACACAATTTCGCTCCATTTGTTCGTGTATCCTCCAGATTTCTAAGACATCTCGCTCACTGTGAAACCAGCCACTGGACAGCTGCCCCCAGTAAATACGCTGCCCCCCTCCCTCTTTCGCCCTAGTCCTATTTTCCAAGCAGGACAGTGCGGCTGTCATTGGTGAATACAGGCTGGCTGAGCTGCTCTTGACCTCGGGCAGACCACGGCTCCTCAGTGGACCCGTTTCCACCGAGTGATGGAGCAAGACTAATGAAGCAGTGAGGACATTGTAACGCACACTAAAGGAGAGCAGTTGTGAAAAAGAGACGAGAGAATCCTGAATATGAAAAGACGTTTTCTACCCACTGAAATCATACACCTCATATTCATACTTTTTTGTTGCACTTGTGGTTGACAGTTAAAAAGGACAACATTTGAAAATCAAAATAATCATTATTGTAATCTAAATCAAAGGTATGTTATGTTTTACCGTGCTCCCGTAGATTTAATAAGGCATGTTTATTTTGTCATTGTGAGCATAAATTAAGCGTAAATTAAAACTGGAAGACCAAAGAGACGTCATGCCTGCCACACTGACTCCTCGCTTTAAAGTGATAGTCTGGAACTCTAAATGAATTACAAATTTTAAGAATTGTATTAAATTGACCTCCTGGCCCTAAATGTTGATATAAAAAAGTAATTTTATGAATTCTAATATTACGGGTAAGTCCCGCCTTCCCTTCCTTTAGCTATAGCTCAGAATCCACGATGCCGTCCATGTTAACCAATCAAGTGATGCCAAGGGCTGTCAATCAGCGGCGCTGATGCTCGTAGCTGCTCATGCTCAGTTGTTTGTTTTCGCGGAGCCTCCGAATCAAGCCTCCATTAGGCTCTGGAACTACATGAAAACTGAACAAAGAATTCTGAACATCCGCACTGAGTTACCCATTTATATACTGAACCTATATCCATAATCATTTATATACTGAACCTATATCCATAATCATTTATATACTGAACCTATATTCATAATCATTTATATACTGAACCTACACTATATCCATAATCAGATCCTCTGCAGATGTGTCCTATAATTTTCAATTCATGATAATAGCTACTACCGGGTTTACCGTGATCGCTTTTTTGTGCATTAAAACATTGTTTTTGTCATAAAAACGTTAACAGATCATTCTGAAAACCTCTGTGCATGTGTATTAATAATGTATAATGTGTTCTCCGATTAACATTTAAATGTGTTAATTGATTGTTACGGAATCAATCAATTAGGCGTAGACCAATCAGAAAGGAAGGGGAGGAGCTTGGGTCGTTTTTTTCAAATCATGTTCCTCTCTCTCTTTTTTCTGACAAACCCCAGACAATCACTTTAACTGGAGAGTATAGTTTGCAATTTAACATTTCAAATCAAAATGCTAAATTTAGTTCTAAGCGTAACAACTGAATTAGCAACGTAATAAAACAATAATACATTTTATTTGCATTGGACCAAACGTTTAAAAAGATATATACATCACTACATTTACAAAATACAATCACTAACACAGGGGTTAAAGCAAAAAAAAAAGATTTGACTGAAAATTTTCTCATGGAAATATAATGAATTACAGATCAAACGAATTCTTCAAAGATATACATTTAAACTGGTGTATTTTGATGTGAAATTACAACCAGTGGATCAAGCAACTTGTCAACTCTTTGACAAAATATTAGTGAGAGTAGTTCATCTGCATCATTGGCTTTACTTGAGGCGAGATGAGGCGTTGTCCTTTGGCTCTGTCCTCGTCAAAATATCGCAAAAGGACATTCAAAATTCTGTCCACATTTGTTTGTGGACACTCAATGTTTAAGAAAAAGGTTTCCCTATCAACTTGGTGCTAGTGCACAGCGCAGTTTTATCAACTGCAAATGATTAATGATAATTAAATCTACCAGCGGTAGTGATGGTTCTGAACGACAGGTTATTTTCTGCGATAAAGCCACAGATAGTTTTAGGTCACAGACACAGTCCACCAGAGCAAGCCTAGTCTCAGTTGTCGCTGAATCTGATGCACCAGGTAAAGAAGTGTGGGAAAGTGCACGGACAGCTGCCAAGTGCGCAGTTTTGAGCTGGTGGTGAATCCAAAGCTGTTTTCTCATTACTCCCATATAAAAAAATAATAATAGCGAAGTACGAACAAGCACCGGACACCTTTATCTTTTTGCACCATGAAGCAACAGAATCCCATCGTCTCCACCTCATCCAGCCATGCCCACCTCCATTTATTTTTCACTCCGTTATCAACAGCAACTTATACAGCTCCTTCTTCCATAAACAACGAGTGGGGCGGCTGCGGCTGTAAAGTGCCAAACTGCCGTTGTGTCCTTAGGCAAGACACTTCACCCCCATTGCCTAGAATGAGTCTGGTGTGTGTGTGAATGGTTGGTGGTGATCGGAGGGGCCGATGGCACATACTGGTTGCCTCGCTTCTGTCAGTGTGCCCCAGGGCAGCTGTGGCTACAGTAGTAGTTTATCACCACCGTGTATGGAGTGAATGAATAATGACACATGTGAAGCGTCTTTGAGTGTCCAAAAAAGCGCTATATAAAACCGATGCATTATTATTATTATCATTATTATCCATGATTGTGATTGTGCGTGCATGCTAGGCTAGCTTTGATGAATGAATATAAGACCTGCTAACACACACCTTTCTTCAGCGAGTTTCTTCCGTTCTCGTTGATTGGCTCTTTTTATCACGCAGTTTTGCATGGGGATCGCCACCAAGATATTATCAAAAGCTCACCAAGACATGCTTGTCCCCATTCCCAGTCACAGCAAAGTACATATTGTACATTCCGTTAAATAAAAAAGCATTGCGTTTGGTAAACGTTAATTATGTCCTACCTTTCCTCTGATAACGCGCCCAGTTTACCGGTCCGCGGGCTGCTGGCTGTTATTGCTCCGTTCGGGATTACATTTTCCTTGTCCTCTTCTCCTTTTCAAAAGCTCCGTGCACTTTTCAGAAACTTTCACCTCCGTGTTACCATCGCTAACTTGGCTACGTCCCATTGCCTTGAATCATTTACGGAGCGCTCATGTAGCTAGCCACGGCACGTTCAAGGCCCACTCGTTACTTTTTATTTCTATATACATATAAATACAATTATATTCAAATTATTAATATATATCTAGATATATACAACAGATTCACACGTATTACTATATATTTTGTTATAATTAACCATTTCATTGTGTGTATTATATTATTATTATATATTTTGTTTCTTTTTCAGACCAATTTCATTTGACGGAAATCCGTCACTTAGACGGAACTCTTTAATCCCTGCACTAACAGTGCATCCAATTAAAAGCACATGAAAAAATTTCATCTTCACCTAAAAATAAAGCATGTTAGATACGTGCGCTCTCTAAAAATACATGAATTTATTGTTGAATTCATTGTTTTGTATTGGGCACAAAACCTCAAAGATCTATTTGTAGATGCACCATTCAACTCACCATTTAAAAAATTCGCCGATTCTACTTTTACGGACTCCTCAACGGATCTACACAATTTAATAATTATATAATGATAATATTAAGGGTCAACACATGCTAAATTATTTTCAATGTTGTATCAAAGGGTGGATATGTGTCACAGTGTTTGCTTGTGCTTCCCAATTTGAACCGTGACATATTTCAGCCAGTGTTGCTATGGCAATCTCAGAAACTCTCTATTTTAAGGGTTTCTGGACACGCCATACGGTGTGTGTGCCGCAGCTGCAAACTTTGATCATCAAAGCTGGGGTAACAAACCGTGTGAACAAACCAGATCAGAACATTCAACATGGTTTCCAGAAGAATTTTAAAATAACAACAAAATAAAATATGATCTATATTTGTATGAAATCTTAAATATCTAAAAATGAGAGGTGGGAGTTGTGTGTTACTCAGCTTCAACTTCTTTAAGCAGGCCCATACTCTTTAGGATGCTCTTCTCCATGTCCAAATAACTTTCATAAACCTTCCTCATTTCTGCCTCATTTTCCTCCAGGTCTTTCATTTCAGACTTGTCAGGCTCCTGTCAAAAGAGATGAGACAAAGTTATTTGGGTGTGTTCACAGTAAAGTGTCAATTAAGGTATCAGGACTTATACCTTAGGTTATAACTCAAAAGCTAAAATTACTACCATAGATTAGGAAAAAAAATTTCAAACACAGACATATTAAAGAGATAGTATGGATCAAATCAGAAGAAAATATTGACAAATACATTTTTGGAGAAATGTTAAAAACCCAGATCAGCCAGATCAGCCTCTGATTGGATAATTCTACTGTGACTCAGTGACATAGAAAATAAAAGGTCCTCAGTGAAAAAGCAGCAGATGAACTCCCACAAGATTAACGTCAGGAAATCACTTCAAAATTGAAACGTCCCTTGAATAATGTGTAACGGATGTGATGATTTCATTTTCTAAAAATTAAACTTGATGGTCTGGAATCACGTTTAATTGGTTTACTATATGAAAATAATCACTTTGTTTCTACTCTGTGTAAAAAAAAAAAGAATCTATAAATCAAATGTGGACATCTGAAAATATGTAACAAACTTCTGCAGCTCCATCAGAGGATCAGGTCCGTGACACAGATAAACAGAGCTGCTAGAGGAAACTGGACTAATGTATACAACAGTTCTCTTCTAGCAACTACTAATGGACAGAAGAGATATTTGGATAAATAAAAAACCTAATATATCTTCTGATTATTAAAATATAATTGTTGGCCTTCTGTCACACTTTTGTACCCTTTAGTGTGAACAGGCCCATAAACATTGTGAATGGAATTGATGTATTCCTAAAAATGTACTTTAGTCTGAATATCAACGCTTTAGCTGATAGTCAATTATGCATTGTTTGAAAATGAAACTATGGAAATAGAAAGCGGCACATATTGAATACGTCATCTCACCGTCTTGTGTTTGTCTTCTCCCACGTGGTTGGCCCATGCCTCTTCCCTGGACATCAGATCCTCTACCCGGGTTTGTTCTAACTCAAAGTATTTCCGCATACTTACACTCTGGAAATTCAGAACAGTTACTGGATATGAAAGTATTCAGAATTATGTTTTTTTCCCCTCTGTATTCAAACAATTCAGTACAATAACTTACCTCGTTCTTTATTGGTGTATATAGCGCCTTTGGAATTTCAAAAACACGAATCACTCCTAGGTCATCACACACCGCCAGGAAGTGCCGTTTGGCTATGGAACAGCAAAGTCTGAATGTGACCAACACTTCTCTCAATCATTTTGTTATAATGAAGAAAGTCAGAAGTTGTGATGTGTTTTAAAAGACAAATAAACTAGATAAGTCCATTCTTCTGACCAGTTCTCTGTCTGACTTACACGATGCACTCCACGGTTTGATGACGTTGATCTTGGTGCTAATGATACCATCCAGGACCTGTGAGGGCGCACTCGTCTCTTCCAGAAGGTTCCACACCTGAATAATGCCATCCTCTCTCCCGATGAAGAAGACGGCTGGTCGGGAGGGAGACCAGCACCCTGCCGTCAAAAGCTGCTCCGAACAGGCCGTCAGAAATATAGGCCGATCCTGGAGTAAAAACATACAAAAAATGTCATATTATCATTTGGTACGACCACAATTCAAAATACAGTCTTATGTTATTTTAGCAGTTTTTTATTCAAGTAATGATAAACCATATTTCTATTTAATGTGTAAATCCATGAGTTTCCTAACGACGTAATTGAGGACCATATTAAAGCTGCACTAACTCACTCATTTGAACGTGGATGGTGTGACAATAGAAGACCATAGAATGATTGAACCGGGAAGCGCCGAGAGGACGAGACTTTCATTTGGCTGTTTCGCTGAGTAAGCAGTAACCGGTAAAGGAGACACGGGAAGTTTCAGGTTAGCCTCCGCCGCTTGTTTACCTCAGCTGTCTGTGCTAACGAGAGACCTGTAGATTTTCTCAATAAAGTGGGGGCCAGTGGTCTGCTGTGATTGGTCACAATCTGGTACCGAAATAAATTCTCTTCCTTGTTGCACAAAAGCTCAATCTAAAATAAAATGACACAAGCACAAACCTGTGCTACTTTTTCTTCAAAAGGACGTATATCCTAATGCATTGCATGGATATGGATGGAATTTTCGTAATGAATACAAAAATAAAGTGAGGTAATGCAGCCTTAACCTCAATTCATTTCAACAGGAAGCTGAAAATCACAATGATAAAGTCGCCTAGGTTCAAAACATGTCCAATTTATGTTTTATGTATTTTATATGGCATTTCTGCACTTTGATTGTATTTATATTTGTATCTTGTGTTTCTGTATTTTTATGTACACCCACAGGTGCTCCGTCTGTAAATGAAGTTCCTCACGGATGAATAAAGTTATTTGAATTGAATTGAATGTATCCGTACCATGAATCCTTCCTTCCAGATGGCAAAGTTCCAGCCTCCTACTGTCAGAATAATATCTTTGAAAAAGGGTGAGCGCTGTATTGCGTTTACCATCCAGTGATGAACACTCAGGCAACGCTGAGGCTTTCCACCTGGAACAAAGAGAAACATAAAGACGTATAATTAAATAGAATACATAAAAATGAATCTATTGTATTATGCTGTGACTCTATCATCAAATTACAGTGATTTTGTGAGATTTGTAATGGAGGAAGGCAAGGTCAGGTTCATGGTACATGGTCAGGTTCAGGTATATTTCTTGTTTTTACTAAAAAAAATAGCTTACTCTCTAGTCCACCTGAGTCATCCTTTTCCATTCTCCAGTTAGTATAGACAACCTCTCCATCCTGATCACAAAAGTGGGTTAGTATATGAAGAATTATTATATACTATCAAAAAAAGGGCGCACCTCTGTTCCAATGAAGAACTTAGTGTTGATATCTGCTCGGGCACGGAGTGTTTTGGCTGAAGGTATTCTCAGCTTGTTATAGTCCGGTGTGACCTTTGGGCTTTCATCCTCATCTGCGACATTTGTAAACATACATTTATTTTTATTATTATCTTTTAAAACAAAACAAATAATAATTCAAAATAAGTGAAAAGTAAAACAAGGGAAAGTTTAATGATTGACTATGATGACTTTGACAACCGGTTCCCTCTTCTATCATTCACACCTTTTGGAAGTTTAGAGAACTCAAAGTTTGAGATTCAAGATTTGCTTCCTTTATTCTAAAGCTAGAGATCTAAAATTTGAATTTTTCTTATGCTTAAGTTAGAGATTATATTTTATTTTATTTTAGCATAGACTTATTGTTAATTTATCTTGTGCTGTGTGCTCCTCATTCCTATTGTTCTGTAAGCGGTAACACAACAGTGAAATTTCCCGACAGTGCGACGAATAAAATCTTAATAAATCTTAAATTTTGGCACTCATATATTTCAACACTATCAGTAACAGAATTCCAAAGCTATAAATCCAAGTCCCGGTATAACAGTATTGACTTCTGTTTGATATCAAAGAGCAGCACCCACACATTATATGACTCATACATTTTAGGAAATAAAATATGCAATGTTATGAAACCCAAAGGTTTTTTCCCAGCCACCAGGAGCCAGCCATTACATAATCAAACCAGGGACTTCATTAAACTGTAATAACAGTGTGCCTGTGGGCTGCGGAAAAAGCGCCTAGTCAATTTATTGCTTGGTTTGTGAGCGTATTCTACAACCCCCAAAGCTGTATTTACAGAGGTTGCCCTTTCATCGAACAAAGGCAGGTTTCTTCTTGACCAGTCAGCACACACCATCATCTTCTGAAGCATAAAGAGAAGGAGCGGCATATTGCAAAGAGCTGACAGTCAGTAAGGCTAATGTGCCGCAACTATGAGGGCCTTGTTTTGGACGGATCACTTAATACAGGCCTATGAAACTAGAGGAGAGATCAGGAAAACAGGGGAGAGAGACTCTGGTCCTCTCAGTGGCATGCATTCAGGGTTCACAGTTCTGCTCGGGGCTGGTATGATGGAATCACCAAAGTGAACCTGAAGAGCGCATCTGAGCGGCCCAAAGCAAGCAACCCAAGGACCAGCTTCTATAAGTCTGGCATGCTGAGATAGTGGGAATTGTTCCCAGGGGCTAGAGCTAGACATGTGATGGAAGACCAGGTGCCACAGGGCTCAAATTGGCAGCCTCACTTCCATCTGCCTACCCCATAGTTCACTGGCTCCTGTAGTTGTTTACCACCATCATGTATGGAATGAACGAATAGTGTGAAGGGTAAAAAAAGTGCAATATGAAACCATAAATTAATTGATGGTACATTTGCATAAACTTACACTTGAGTTTTTCTTTCACTTGTAAATGGCAAAGACAGAGCAGTACTTGCACTGATGAGATCATTTTAAGTTGATGAATAAGACAAGATAGTCCTTTATTCGTCCCACAGTGTGGAAGTTGTCAAATGACAATTTTCAAATGTCATTGTTGCGGACATTACAGCAGAGTAAAAGTAGGAAAATAAGAACACTCAGATTGCACACATCAAACAGGATCTATTATTTAAGATAATATAATGAAATAATAAGTAATAAGATAATAGAATACGATAAAATAAAACTATTGCACTTTAACTGCAGAGAATATGACCAGAATAATCAAAAGTCCTTTTAGCAAACCTATGGAACTGGAAGATTGATGTCAGAAATCCTCACCTGCATGCTTCCCTTTCTTACTGCTACAGGTGTAGTCTTCAAAGCACAACTTGAAAGGCGCATACTCTCCACTGCCTTCGGTTTTTGGCAGAGACACCTGACACATGACAGAGCAGAGGAAGAACCACTATCAAATCTAAAGGCCAGGCCGCTTTTTATTAAAAATCTAATTAAGTAACAAGTATCTTTGTGTTGTGGTTTGATATCACAAGCCATAATCAGGAGGAATTACCCGGAGCAGTGGAGTCCATGTCCGGTCCAGGTGTTTGAATGTTTCAGGGGCACTGTAGGGTGACGTTGGATCCACTTTCTGCTTTTTTTCAGGCGTAGATTGGGTCAGCAGAGTAGCCACTCTGATGTCCCAGAATGAGATATGACTGGACAGGAAGATTATAAAGTAAAATATAAAAATCACATTTTCAGCCCTTTCAGTGAGAGTCAGATCAGTATGAACTTACCCGTCAGGAGAGCAAGTGACAATCTGAACTGAAATGTTATACTTGTTCTCCATGGGTAATCCTTCCTTTGTCACCTTGTCAGAAAGAGGAGGGCACAAAGAGAGAGACCTACTGTACTGTTGGGCTTTACACTTTTTTAAATAGAAAGCATGTGATTGTTTGTCAGGGATTTTTTTATTTGAACTTATTTCAGCTGCTTACATTCTTGTGTTGGTACAAGCTCAAAAGCGGATATATTCAAAATGGAGCATCTTATCCTATTTCAAATACATTTTAATAGTTAAGTCCAACTAGGGCTGGGCAATAAGTCAAATTTAGGCAATTAATCGGCTTTTGAAAAAATTGAATTTGTGAAAAATGTGAAAATCGTGAAATCGAATGAAGGATATTGTGGGAGTTCCAGCAGCACATGAATTACAGTTGCAATATCAGCACAGTCTGTACAAGACTTTTATAATATGTGTAGGGGGAAAAAAATGTTAAATAGTTTTGAAAATTGAATATTGAGCGGAAAGATCAAAAAATAATTGATGGGCAAAGTTTGTCTTCAGTGACTTTAATGAAAATCAATATCGAAATTTTACTTTTTTGCCATATCGCCCAGCCGTAAAGCCTGGTTCACACGAGACGATTTAAAAATTGTCGGCCGATTTTTTCTCCGTGTGAGACCTCACACACGGAGATAAAAAAATCACAGGTCTAACCACTTTGGTCGTACAGTGTGTGGTGCGCAGCCACACGGCAAAATCACGCAAACTACACACGAACCGATTTCACCCCCGACTATTCACAGGTCACCGGAAATCTCACAACATCTCTCGAGATCAAGCGTGACTTCAGAGTAAACAGAGTGTGCAGGCCTCTCCGCTTCACGCAGCCTATAGAGACTCTCGTCTGACCACAGCAGCCACAGACACCATGAGGACAAACACATACATGTGGATTTTACTGCTCTACAGTTCTCTGGCCCGTGCTGTCTGTGCTGTTCAATAATACAGTTTGTACGGACTACCTGTGAACGCATCACACACACTGCTAAACATGAACCTTTACATACGTACAAACACAACCCATCAGTCTGATCATTTATTGTACTAATCCCGTCCGAATTGGGCTTATGCCAACACTACCTGTGCAGCAGCAATTTCTGCCCAATTCCTCTTCTTATCATTTCGGTGATGATATTCTTTACACGACACGTCATACATACATTCACGGTGTTGCCAGAGGTCAACTAGTTGTTCCTCCATCTCTGATGTCCACCGAACTTTCTGGTGCGCCATGCCGCTGACTGTGTTGGGTTTTTTACGGTGTTTCCTCGCCGGCTCGTCTCGTCTTCTGATTGGCTACACGCCGCTGTCATGGCAACGCGCTCGTCTGTCCCCGGAGGACACCACACACGAAGAGAAATCGGGCCAAAACAATCCAACATGTTGGATATCCCCGATATTGAGATCGGAGCAGTCCCGAAGTCCTTCCAAGCGACGCGCACAGTCTTAACACACCACACACGGCAGGAAAATCCATCAGATTTTTTGTTATGATATTTGGAGCGTTCTTACGATTGTCGTAGGGGTAAATCGGGTCCAAAATCAGCCTAATTATCCTGCCGTGTGAACCAGAAATCCAACCTAAGATTTGGACTTAACTATTTATATATAGCTGATATAGAGAGGATCATAAGTAAACTGTGATTTGTATTGTGAATATACAAGGTGACTTTGCTCTTTCCACAAATGTATCTATTATTTATTTATTTGAATGGGACAGTGGATGTCAATGAACGGACACATTAAAAACATGAATGTAAACGTCATTTTTACCTCAAATGTTTGCGGCAGCCAGTGGACATCAGTAATCGGTGCTTTGTGGCTTTTCTCTATGTCAGACACAGCACAGGGACGCACAACCGGCTTACACTCTTTGGTGTCATCCAGATCCTAGAGTGAGCACACACACACGATTGAAGTATCTTGCCCAAGGACACAACAGCAGTTTAGCACTTTGCGTAGCAGCTTGTGTTCCCAGAGGTCTTCCATCACAGTGATAACCAGGCAAAGCCCTTCTTAGCTTCTGAGATATGCCAGGATCACACGCAGGTGGTGCCACAGTATCAGAACAGCACAACATACTCATGTGTTTCATCTTCCTGTTCCATGCAACATTTGAAGGACTCTTCCCACGTTAGAGTTATGAAGTAAAGGTAAAGGTGCACTTTATTTATCCCCGTACGGCAATTCATCCTCTGCATTTGACCCATCCTGATCCCACTAAGGCTTACGTCAGGAACAGCGCCCGGGCACCCATCTCCGGATGTTGATGCTCGGCTTGGTCAGGACTAACCGGAGCTGGAGGATTTTACCTAGTGTGCATATTTTTAGTGGTAGGGGAAACAGGAGCACCCGGAGGAAACCTACACAGGCATGGGGAGAAAGGGCCTGTTCCAACCGGGATTCCAACCCAGGACCTTCTTGCTTAGAAGCGGTGGCTGAGTAGATAGCATTTAGCTTTGAATTGTTAATACATATGACACCGGCTCTCCTTTTGTATAATTCTGAAACCTGACATAATGTTGGCCCTTGCTTTAATCGTATGACCCATGAGAACACGATTTGAAAAAAAAAATTCAGGCAAAGAAAGATTGTAATTGCTCGTTACACCGATAAGCTTGCAACAGGTGCTTGGCAAGGGCGGCTTTCTCAGCTCGATGCATCAAGAGCTTTTAGCCGATAGCACAGGCTGATGTTTACAGTGCAAACACAGGCCTGAACTGATTTCCATGTGTGCGGAGTTTGTGTAACAGCTGTCAGGTCCCGCGCTGTTGACTCTGGAGAATGAAGCGCAAACAAGGACAAAGAGAATCAGAGGGAGGTCCGAGCGGAGGGGAAAAGGCAGAAGAGGAAGTATAGAGCTGAGTGGCACAGCTGCTGCACTGTAGGACCCATAAAACTCACAAAGCAAATGAGGGGCAGATAATAGGGGCATATGTGTCCATTTCAATTAGGACACCTAGTGGGGCATGCCACAGGGATGCCAGGCGTTATCAGATGACCACAGAAACTTTTTTTGGTTTCTAAGTGGAACTAAGTGGGTTCGTTTTTGACCTTGAAGCAGATAGTCCAGTATACTTCCAGGGAGGTGGTATTTTAATGCTAGGTTTTATAATAAGTCAAAGCTTTTAGAAGAAGTAAGAATATTCCATTTCAAACGTTGTGCAAATGAAACTATAAAAAATGAACGAGATAAAGTAAGTAAGGAATCTTTACATCTTCAGCGCATTTAAAGTAAGTACCGTAAGGAATTGTAACTCCTTTAGTGCAATTATAGTGTTGTGTGTTGTGCTTGCATTGCATGTGTGTGATTGTGTTGCGTGTGTGTGATCGTGCTGGTTGGGTTGAATGAGTGTGAGGGGTTGAAGCCAAATAAGAGTCTGCTTCCTCCAGCCTCTTTTTCAAACTGTTTATTTTGTTTTTATGTTGTATCTTGTTTGTTGTTTATATTGTTTTCTTTTGCATAACGTTTCAAATAAATTCTTACAACTACTACTAATAAAGTAAGGAAGCTTTACTTCGTTAGCGCAGTTCACAGACCAAGGTCACGCAAACTGCTTTACAATTTGTTTGCATAATTTGCATACACTCCACAAATGTGAAGACAGAAACGAGAAAACTGAACACCTGCAAAGTGTACGATCATTCATTCATTCAGTCGCTTTTAGTGAAATGGGGGAGACCTACGCAGACAGGGAGAACATGCAAACTCCACACAGAAAGGCCCTGTTTGCAGATGTGACATACACAAAACATGTTCCTTTAAATTCAATTGAACATCATTAATTATTTATTTTCAATAATTATTCCTATGTATCTATATATACACAAGTGTCTTTGAGTATCTTGTTTTGGTTAAGTTTTTTAACTCCTCGTTATGTACATAATGAAAATAAAAATGAAAATGAAAAGTTTATGTTTTGAAAGAACAAGCAGTATTAGAAGAATTGACATTAAGTAAGGATTATAGCTGTTTTTATTTCATAGATTTATACTAATGAAAAAATAAAAATAATTGGAAAATATGCTGAAGCCCAAAGGTAGTAGCGCAGATCATCAGGTTGGTGGGGAACTAATGACATCACACGGGAAAGTTTCGTACAATTAGAAAAGGCCCATCTTTATGGTAATAAAAGTGAATTTGTATGATAGTAATAATATGCGGCCTAAAGTGCTATTGCCATTATATATTTATTTGTTTTGTTTGTATGGATACCGGAAACTTGAGCCAGGAATTACCCAAATACAGACAGTTTATCAAATGCCCGACCAGAGAGGAGAACACTCTGGATCACTGTTACACCACCGTGCGCGGAGCTTTTCGCGCTGTTCCCAAGCCAGCCCTCGGCTTCTCAGATCACTCCATGATACATCTGGTTCCTGCTTACAGACAGAGACTAAAGCTCTCGAAACCTGCAGTGAGGAGCTCCAAAGTGTGGTCTGATGAAGCTGTGGAAGAGCTGCGCGCATGCATGGAATCTACAGACTGGGACCTTTTCAGAGCTGCCACAGACAGCTTGGATGAATATACGGACACTGTGACGTCATACATCCACTTCTGTGAGGATAGCATCATTCCAACAAGGACCAGGGTCATCTATAACAACGACAAACCCTGGTTCACTGCTAAACTCCGGCAGCTCAGGAAAGCAAAGGAGTCTGCTTTCAGGGAGGGGGACCGCAGCGGCTACAAAGCAGCTAAATATCAGTTCAGGAAAGAACTGAAAGCAGCCAAGTCCCGGCACAGAGAACGACTACAGGAGCAGTTTGGTAACAACGATACTGCTTCTGTCTGGAGGGGCCTACGGGAGATCACCAACTACAAACCCAAAGCCCCCCCTGTGCTGATGACCACAAGCTAGCTGACGATCTGAACTTATTTTTCAGTCGCTTTGATGCTGCCCCTGACACCTCTCCCTCCCCCACCCCCCACTACTCTAACGACCCACCCATCAGCCCTGCCCCCAGCCTAACAATAGCCGCTAAAGAGATTAAACAACTCTTCCTGAGGCTGCACCCCCGCAAAGCTCCTGGCCCGGACCACGTGTCTCCGGCCACTCTGAGACACTGCGCCAGTGAGCTTACTCCTGTGTTCACGGACATTTTCAACTCCTCTCTGCAGTCCTGCCATGTCCCGGCCTGCTTCAAATCCTCCATCATTGTCCCCGTCCCGAAGAAGCCCAGGATCACAGGACTCAATGACTACAGACCTGTAGCACTTACGTCTGTCGTCATGAAGTCATTTGAACGCCTGGTTCTCTCCCATCTCAAGTCCCTCACCTCCCCCCTCCTGGACCCCCTGCAGTTCGCCTACAGAGCCAACAGATCTGTAGACGACGCCATTAACCTGGCCCTCCACCACATCCTACAGCACCTGGACTCCCCGGGGACCTACGCCAGGGTCCTGTTCGTGGACTTCAGCTCTGCCTTCAACACAATCCTGCCATCCCTGCTCCAGGACAAGCTCTCCCAGCTCAACGTGCCCGATTCCACCTGCAGGTGGATCACTGACTTCCTGACGGACAGGAAGCAGCGAGTGCGTCTGGGGAAGAATGTCTCGGACTCTCGGATTATAAATACAGGAGCCCCACAGGGCTGTGTTCTTTCTCCCCTGCTCTTCTCCCTGTACACCAACCACTGCACCTCCAGCCACGACTCCGTGAAGCTGATCAAGTTCGCGGACGACACCACCCTCATTGGACTCATCTCCAACAACGATGAGTCCGCCTACAGGAGGGAGGTGGACCGGCTGGTGTCCTGGTGCAGTGGTAACAACCTGGAGCTGAACGCCCAGAAGACAGTGGAGATGATTGTGGACTTCAGGAAGAGCACTGTCCCCCCGCCCCCACCCTCCGTGATGGACTCCCCCATCACCTCTGTGGAGTCCTTCCGTTTCCTGGGCACCACCATCACCCAGGACCTCAAGTGGGAGCCGACCATCAGCTCCCTCATCAAGAAGGCCCAGCAGAGGATGTACTTCCTGCGGCAGCTCAGGAAAGCCAAGCTGCCTGCACAGATGTTGGTGCAGTTCTACACGGCCATCATCGAGTCCATCCTCACCTCCTCCATCACCGTGTGGTTCGCTGGAGCCACAGTCAGGGACAAACAGAGACTACAGCGCATTGTGCGCTCTGCAGAGGAAGTGATCGGCCGCAGCCTTCCATCGCTGCAGGACCTGTACGTCGCCCGAGCTCGAGGCCGGGCTGGTCGTATCACAGCCGACCCCTCTCACCCTGCACATGGACTATTCCAACCCCTCCCCTCAGGCAGGAGGCTGCGGTCCATCAGGACTAGAACCTCCCGCCACAAGAACAGTTTCTTCCCCTCTGCTGTTGGACTCTTGAACACTTCTTAACCTGTCCCCCCGCCCTTTATAAAGTCACTTTACTGCCCATCATACGTCACTTTACTTCACTGTACTGCTGTCACCTTACATTGTGTGCACCATGTGCACTTGTACATTGTAAATAGTAACTGTAACTCTATTTTAAATTTAAATTTATTCTTTAGAAGTGTTTTTTATTCTTATTTTTATTATCTCTTTTTGACTGTTGCACTGAGCCAAAGCAATTCCCAAGTCTGTGACCTCCCGTTACTTACGTTGGCAATAAAAATGATTCTGATTCTGATTCTGATTCTGATTCTGATTCTGATTCTGCTGCTGGCAGTGTTGGGCACGTTACTTTGAAAAAGTAATTAGTTATAGTTACTAGTTACTTCTCCCAAAAAGTAACTGAGTTACTAACGGAGTTACTCCACTATAAAAGTAACTAGTTACCAGTAAAAGTAACTATTGCGTTACTTTTTCGTTTTGTTCTGGAACATAATGTGCACCCGACGTGCGCATTTTTACCTTTAACAGTGCCAATATTTCCATCTAGAAAAGGCTGTTTTGCTGCTGAAGTCCTGTTCACTCTTCATCTCTGTCTGTGCTGTAAAGCCCGCCACTGTGAATGTGGAAACACCGGTGACGAGCGGTGAGGCTGGTGAAGCACTGACTTCAGTCCAATCAGATGAACATATACATCATATAAATCAAGTGGACAATTTGTTTGGCTACAGCAAAATATGTTTTATGCCCGTATTGTTTGTTCATACAAAACGCAAAACTAGGAGTTATGGGTCTTACCTTATAGCTATACCTTATAAATGACCTGCACAGTCCACTTCGGTTCAGACCAGTTCCTTGTTTAAATCCAGTGAATGGTTTGAGCGTAGATATGTAATCCTCCATTTGGAAATGAGTCCAATGAGTTTTAAAAAGTAAAACAAAACGCGTGTGTCCTCCGTAAACTCCTCTGTTTTGCTGCAGCCGGCTGCATCCAATTTCTAAAATCAACCGTCTTACACTTCACCTCTCTTTCTTATCATTCCTATAGTAATTGAAAAATTACCCTATGTGCATTTTAGATTATGTAAAAATGTGTTATATGTATGTTAGCCAAACCTGTTGCTGTCCTTAGCAGATAAACCAGGAAGAGCAAGGAGCTTGTCGATGGAATTGTATGCAGCCGACTTCTGCGCTCACATGCGCTCCTCTGTGGCTGACCTCACCGTGATACAAGCCGTGGTTGAGCGCGATTAAGACCCATATTTGTTTCAAAAACACAATTTATGAGCCATCCTCTCAACTGTAGACATGTAGATTGTAAAGGAAATATGATTTACATCAGCCAATAATTGCTGAGAGGTTTTCTCATCCTCCCTTCTCTCATGACAACACGTTCATTGTGCATCTTGAGTAACGCGCAGTAACGGGATGTCGGAAATGATAACGGCGTTATAGTTACTGTCAAAGTAATTAGTTAGATTACTCGTTACTGAAAAAAGTAACGGCGTTAGTAACGCCGTTACTAGTAACGCCGTTATTCCCATCACTGGCTGCTGGACACCTGAATTTCACCTACGGGGATGAATAAAGTATCTATCAATCTATCTATATCTATAATAATATAAAAACAATATCTGTTTTTAGCCCACTGTATGGTTGGTAGTGTACAGATGCCATGACCACATTTTAATAATTCATTTATTGTTATAAATTGTCATGTTGACTGTGTTTCAGTGAAAGCGATGCCATGTGTAGTACTAGAGCTGTATGAATTAGTTTTATACTAGTACTGCTATTCTGCCACATTAAGTTGCTTTGATATTTGCAGTACTTTAGCCTTAAATGGGTTTAGATTAGATAGATCATTACAGCTTGCAGATGGTTGAAAAGTAGCATTAGGGTCTTATATTCATATTTAATGACAGAGTGGGCATATGCAAAAGGAATTCAAGTCAACATATCAACATCTAGCAACTTAAAATTATACATTTTTGAGACTGGATACTTTTACTCACAAAAGCTTTGAAAGACCCTTTTTTCCCATCAGGCTGTATCCCTTGTAAATGTGCGACATAAGCCGAGATGTCCCATAAAACGACCTGAAAGAAAAGCACATATAGCTCAGACAAATACCGGACGCACCGTGACATAACAGTGTAACGTAATATCGGTAGTAAATTATTATTGCAATGTACACCAAAGAATACAACGTGAAATCATCACCTGGCCATTCACACAGCCACCGACGATAATATTAGGATCAGACGGGGAAAATTCAAATGCTAAAATGTCATCTGGGCATTTTAGTAACAACTGCGGAAAAAAAAGAGAAAAACATTTAAAAAATCAGAATCTTAATAAATACTGTATATTTTAGCAGCAGCCGTGGCAGAAATGGTAGAAGTCATATTTGAGAGAACTAGTAGGCTTATGTTGCAGCTGTTACCTTTAAGATTTGAAATGCATTAAGATTAATAAGAGATCCTTTATTCATCTCAACAGTCTGTTCTGGACATTATTTTATTTTGTTGGATGTCTCGCCCAGACAGCAGTGAAACCAAAGCATGACTAATAAGCTTTACGTCATGCAGAACTCATATTACCTTGAGAGATCTAGCAGATCAGTTTTATTGATTAAGTGCCTGGTTCAAATCAATTAAAGGTCTCAAATTATCTTTGAACAATTATACTATCAAATGACAATGCACAATTCGAAGTGAAGAGAAATCTCCCCTTAATATCAATATACTTTTCACAGATTTCAAAAGCTTTGCACAATAGATTTTTTTTTTTATTGTCACACATTTACAACATCTCAGACATCTATGAAATTCAAATTCCAGTTTTATAGCTCAGCTCAATGGAGGCATTGTAGTTTTAAGTTGATCTTGTAGTTGATCTTCCACTCTATTGAAACTGTTTTAGATAATCAATTTGACAGTGACAATTGTCTTTGTTTTATTCCTGCACTTTTAACCTGATTTTATTTCTGTACTTGCCACACTGGGGACTTTTGCGGATGTTTTCCAATGTGGTTTTACTGCAAATGGTGAATAAAATGAATCTGAATGTGATCTATTAGTCTGCAACCTTACTTCAATACATTTGATTGAAAATGAGTTCAATTTTGATGTACATATGTGCAAAACCAGTGTACAAAACTAGTGGCCACTTTAAGACAGACAGACAGACAGAAAAACTACAAACCATATGTATTTCAATCAGTGACATACCTGAGGTGCGCATGGATCTGCAGGGCTGTAGAAAAGGATGTACGAGAACGAGATTGCTGTTTGAGACTTCCACAATGAACGTTCTGACGTAGAGACAGCTACAACACCTAAAACACACACTAAATGATGTATAATACTTCCCAAACCCAAGCATTTATCACATATGTTTACCATGGATAGTTGGATGCCAGTTCAGGCAGCAGATTGTTTTATCCTTAAGATGCTTCTTGTCCGTAAAAGTCTGATAAAGCATTAGGCCTTCTATCACTTTCACGTCTTCATCCTCACCTATCCAGTCTTCAGTGAACACATTCATAATAGCTTCCTGCTGAAGAGCTTGTAAGACCCTGATATTACAGAAAATAGTTTGGTATTACAAATATACATCTGTACAAATGGAACTAGGTGACATTGAAGTTACTGTACATAGAATTTAGAGTTACATTGAAATGGTCGAGTCCAAAAAGTTCTTGAGACTTTCACTTTGGAGGAGTTTTGTGATCTCCTCGTCCTGTAACAGTTGATCCTCATACTGCGTGCACATGTTTTTCTTAAATTTCCTGTTAAAAAATTTGGCTTGCCATGAAATACAAAAATATGTCTCTGAATGTCAGGACAATGGAACAATATAATTAGACATACAGCTTATTTAAAGGCACTATCAATACATTTCCTGATGAGGGGGACTTTTCTTTACTTTTCTTTTGTCAGGCATCCTGCAGTTGCTCTTAAATATCTACTGATTGTGTGCTCAGGGACTGCAGGGGTAAATTAGCACTGCTGCTACAACCTGGTACAATGCATCTCTCCTCTTGGCTAATGTTTATTGTACACTGTCCCTGTGAAAATGTAAAAACATATTATACCATGAAGCATTTCAGTCAGGGAGTATAGTGCTCTTAAACATTTGTGTGTACTACAGTATGTATATTCCACATGACTCAAAGGGGGCTGGTGTATTGATGTAACCACTTTTACTGGTCAATACAGTGCAATGTCATTAGTTTTCAAGCTATAGATTCAGCAAACAACAGCTACATTCACATATTCTACATATTTCATCGTTGTAATAATAGATGTTTTTCATTATCTCTGTATAAGCACCACATGCAGTCCCAGGAGACACATTAGGCGTATTTAGCTGAGCAGGTTGTAATAAGGATGTTACCACTGTGTTTGAGTACTGCTGCTGCAGCACTGGGGCACTGCCTGCATCCCTGCGTCTCTCTGCAGCTGTTTAATGCTGAATCGGCTGTCTTCGTACAAAGGAAACTCCTGGTAGCCATCTTTAACATCTCCGGGGTTGCAGTCAGAGAAACTATAGGCTGTGCCAAACTTTCGCCGCACTCTGCTGAACTTGTAAGACAGCTAGCAGCAAAGAAAGGGGACATGAATAACAGAAAGAAATGTACGTCATTCAGTGTTATCATAACAGGTTTTTTAATAGATACATGGATTACACTGGGTAACAAAAACATATTTTTTGAAAATAGTCCAGGCCTTGGTTTGACCTTGGTTTTGCTCAATCAGGTCAGGATTTTTTGCTACAGAAATATTTTTTTTTATCGATTTTGCGTAAAAAACAAATTTCTGCGGATCATCAGCTGAGAAACCCTTGACGTTTTTTCCGTTTTCCTCAAGAAATAAAAGTCAACGTATCCAAAGTCATTCAGTTTTTATTTACTCCATCAAATTTGATAAGCAGAATTCATAATAACGTAGACGTACGTAATCCGTAACACTATGGCTGTATCTCAAGAAGTTGACCTGATAGAGCAAAATGCATGTGATATTCGGACTCAGAACACCAAAATCCATCAAAATCAGTTGAGAAACCCCTGACCATTTTTTGGCTGTCAACTTGTGTTACCGTGGTTTTTCGTTGTCCCACTGTTGAGAAATGTGAGTGTTGCAATGTGCAGTACAGAACACGGTATATGCAATCAAAACTAGATGAATAGAAATAACTGAATGAAACTAAAATACTGAGAGGCTAGACTCTGAAACTGACGTATGCAAAACATCAACACAGTATGAAATATAAATATAGAAGCCTTAAGAAATAGAGCACTCTCCAATGTTTGCAGTATTTTGTCAAGAATAATGATGGCTAATATTTGAGATAAAGTCTGTATACATTTAGGAAAATAAACGGAACGAACAAAGAGTAGCAGATAAAGGGACTAAAGTGTCAGTGGACAGACTATGGTCATTCTTTCATATTCCACATTATTATCAATACATTACTACTACAGTAAAAGGGCAGCACGGTGGCTGAGTGGATAGCACTCTCGCCTCTCAGCAAGAAGGTCCTGGGTTCGAATCCCGGTTGGACCAGGGCCTTTCTGAGTGGAGTTTGCATGTTCTCCCCGTGTCTGCGTAGGTTTCCTCCGGGTGCTCCGGTTTCCCCTACCACTAAAAATATGTACAATAGGTCTGGCACGTGCCTCCTGTACTGGCACCCCCACTCCCTTTGAGACTCCGATGTGCAGTGAAAAGGCGGTATATAAATAAAGATTACTACTACTACTAATGCACAATTATAGCCTAGATCAAAAATGTGAAACAATAAAAAACAAATCTGCCTGTCGCTATGGTGAACTGCCATGAAGCGATGGACCAACTCTGCAGTTTTGAATCAATGTCTATTATTGAGGTTTTTATAATTATACTCAAACATAGATTTATGTAGCAGCAAAAAACAGAGTGAGTGCATACAGGGATAAAACAAAAATTATAATACAGGGTGCTCTTTGAGGATCTGTGAGAAAATAATGTAAGAAAATGTAAATAATGTCTTTCTTTGCCATGTCCCTTTCACAATACAGATTTTTTTAAGTTAAGTAAAAGTACCTTGGACCTTTTACTTTTTGCTTAATGTATTTCTTTTTTAGATGTATGTATATTGTAAAAGCACAGTACCTTGTCTCTTGTGGTTTTGACAGATTCTTCTTCTATCTCCAGCTCACTGCCAAGAGAGACCCAGGGTTTAGGTTCTGGAGTTTTACTAATCTCAATGATAGCCTCCTCTGGTGTAGGTGGTTTTGGAGGCTGCAGAGGACAAACAGGGGATGACTCATTTCACATGGATTATCCTTTTCAGTGTGTGAGTTGGTGTAGACATAAAAATAAATAAATTTGTAAAAAATAAACATACATGACTCAACACAACACAACTAAAACACTCACATTGAGCAATTTCTCTTTGGCTTCTGGTTTGAGAACCAAATAGAAGCTCTGACCGTAGATGAAATCTCTGTCATACACAAGCAAGAGTTCATCTTCTGGGTAGTCCTGACAACAGAAATTAAGTACACAATGGGACAACATTTGTATAAAACCGATATAAATAATTGAATCCAACAAATTTTATATTTTGGATTCATTCCAGAAATTAAAGAATTGTGAGCTTTTCATTATACATTTTTAATGATTATAGAGATACAGTACAGTTTCTAAATGGTTTACTACATTTCACAATGACTTAAAAAAATAGATATGATGATATTGTTTGCCAAATATAACAGATGGAACTGTATAGTGCTGATTAATAAACACTAAAGAGGAAGAATCCAGAGTGGAAGACATTTTCACACATGAGCCAGTTAAAAGGAAGGCTTCAAGATTTGAAATATATTTGTGAACTTACTTTGTAGCTTTGCTGTTCTCATATTTGACTACACCTGCTGCTCTGTGCAGTGACGTGGACTATCCTGGGGTTATTGTCTGTTGCACACATGAGAAAAGCACATCCTCACCAGAACGATCTTCTTCACAGGACTGAAATCAGACACGGCTGCTCTGTTCCTGATGTCCTGCAGGATGTCGTCCTTTGGCAGCAGCTTGTAGGGACTGTCTCCAGTAACATCCTCATCAGCCACGCAGTCAAACAGATCCTGGGTCACGGATGTGAGCACCATGGGCCTGATGTCTTCTGGGTGATCTAAATGGGTGATATAGATATGGTAGAAATACAAATGTAAGGATAATGTTCCAGTACACTGAAAACTAGAGAAATACAATGAAGAGATATGCAAGTCAAAATCAATTATTTATCAATCTACTATGTTACTATTTTGTATTTTCAGAGATGTAATGTGAAATAGATAAAAGGACGAGCTCAGAGACTTTATAAGAGATAGAGGACTGCTAAAATCAATTATCAATGTAGGGAAACATTTGAGGAAGGGTTGCTGGATTCAGGAGCTTCATGAGCTACAGTACATTACCACTTACTAATATTTGCAAAATAAGTTATTTTGTCTAAAGCGTGACTAGAATATGTGAATGAAAATAAACGGACTATGAAAGCCACAGTACAGACCCCCAAAGGCATAGCAGTACATGCAATACCTGTTTGAGAAAAGTAATTCAAATTCCAACAAAATACATAGCTTCCTTGAAGCAGTGCGCACACATGGACAATGTTTTTTGCGTTAGGATTATACAGTACAAGACATGATATGGCCCCCACTGTCTGATCATCAAACGCACTGCGCCTCTGATCTTTCAAAGCCCCTCCCTGTACTCTGGGCCAACACTGTACAAGATGAAATGCTCTCAGCAAGCAAACACTGTCCAAAAATCTGTGGAAGTTTCTTTGTTATTGTCTGGTATGAAAAAACACAAATCAAGGATGCCATCCAACCCACAACAACATAGCAATTTCTACATCCGTCTAAACTCCATGACACAAGTTCTTTCATGAAAAGGCTTTTGTAAACAAGGTTGTACATAATAAGTGCTTGTGGTCTGGCTCTTCAAAGCCTCCTCACCAGGTTGCGAAGGGGGACACCGGGTGGACTGAAGTACAGCTTAAGTAACCACTTCCAGCTGGGTGTGTCAACCTTCCCCACTCACACCACTTAGGCTTCATGCCAAATCATTGTAGTGGAAACTTGCCTACCCGTTTCACTCAGGCGATGTGTCAACTGTACTCGCCACTCACAGTCATGGGAAGTTTTTGCTTGAGAGTCAAACAGTGTGATGTGCAATGTCCCATAACACTCAAGAATGTAATTAGAAGAGAGCTTGTTGAAAGACATTTTCTATGTCTGGATGTTTTCCGGTTGAGAAAACAAAATTTAGGTTGGCATTTTGACCACTTGTTTATGACTTATAATTTTAAATACCACTTTTATTTGAAATGTGAAACAGCATGGTTAAACATTGTAGACTGTAAATGATAGATATGCCTGAAACACACAGACCTGTATACATTTAATAAAGTATAATTATCATAATGTGAAAGAATAAAATAAACGGACCAACAATACAGATGTTAACTCTTTGCTTTCTCTCTCTTGGACACCCCAATCAATGTTTACAATGATTCAAGTGGGCATAATATTATTTTCAAGATAAGCAAGATTAAATACACCTTATAACATTTTAATAAAAAAACATGTTTGTCCCTGGGTAGACATCACTCTCTTCAATTGTACCATGATTATTGCTTATTGTCTCTTTTCTTTTTTTGTTAAGCACTTTGAGTTTCTTGTGTATGAACTGTGCTATACAAATACACTTGCCTTGCGTGGAACCTCATCTGTGCTTTCTGCCTCTAGACCACCACCATTCCACCACTCACACATGGTGTGTCTTGCTAAACAAACTATAATAGCCTTACACGTGTTACCTACCAGGTTTCTCATCCGCCTCTGCAGGTACCTTATCTGTCTTTCCTGGATGCAAAAGTCGTTGTTAGCTTGCCTAATTGACTACACTCAGAGCATCACATCATAAGATTTTCTCATTACTAACCTTTCCCTTTCCCTTTCCCTTTTACCTTAGTACCTGGTTTACCCTTCTCTTTTTTGGGAGGCATGTCGCTGGATAAGATCAAGTAGAAAGAGGAGGAACTGTCTATGGTAGTTTACCTGGAAATAAAAAAACATCTAACAAACAGTCCATGAGCAACAAGGTTCACACGAATGTGTAAACATGTCTGTGCAGGTGGCGCCATCTGCTGTCCAAATAAAAATATCACACATGTATAGTTTCCAAACTCTTTCATTGATCCAATGGATCTATAATAATAACAACGATTATAACTGGGTTATTCTTCAATGATGGACACATCCTTGTCCTGAATTGATATAAAGAAAAAGAAAATTCATTTCAGATTTTCTATTTTCCAAATTGAGTCTCACCGCAAGATGAGATGTGAGACAAATGTTCAGAAATAAATTATAAATTTTCATTGATAAAAAGTTGTTTTGAATAATGGTTTTATATTAGAGCAAAACAATTCAAGAATACCTTTTTGGCTGTCATTTCCAAAAACGTTATATTCCTTTAAATGCTAGCAAAGCTTCCTTCACATTATTATATTTCATCACAATATAAATTAATAGTAATAATAACATTCATTAGTAATCGTAAAACCACTGTCAGAAAAGATAGACATTTAACTATCTACAACACGAACAAATAATTTTGAAAATAGAATTTAGATTTTCCACACAAAAAAGGCAGACCCAGATCTGTCCATAGGTGAAGAATCACCCATATATATGTGTAAACTGTTTCAATGTGTAAAATCAATTTTATTTGTATCACTAGCTAGTTAGCTTAAACCATGACATGGAATGAAATAAATACGAACCAAGACAGAGCAGCGTTTGGGGTAGAAAATCACAATATGAACGAAAGCAGATATGTTTGAACTGGCTGAAAGTTTAACCTGAATATTAGATAATACATTTAATCAAATATAATTTTTACCGGTTTCTTGAACCATAACGGCCGTGATCCATGTCGTGAACACCACACTTCCTACTCCACAGAGCGGCGGCACGTTTGTTTGGTTGCCACGGGTTACGAGGGTGTGTGACTCTTGAGTGACATCTAAAGCAGCCAATCAGAAAGCAGCCGTAAAATTGACGTAGCACGAGTCACCTGCCCGAACTGTCTCTTGGTGTGAAGACTTCTCAGACAGGATCTACCACCGCAGTAAAGGTGGTTCACAACAACAATAGAAGACAAGGTATTGGAAATCATCTACTATTAGCCATCTGATCCAATTTCTACTATTACAAGCTGGTAAAACTTTTCGTAATTTGTCGTAACAATCTGTTTTTAATCTTTCTGTCTATTTTAGAGACTTGGATATAGTATGTCAGGATCCTTCACCCAGTAAATAATTAACCAAAAGCTTAGGCTAGGTAGCTACACACCTGACTTCCTTGAGTAAGTGGAGTTGAAGCCAAGACAAGTCATATTTTCTTACACGTGATTTACAGTATATAAGATAAAACATGGCAGCTGTTCCATGTTATGGTTGATTTTGAAAGACTGTGATCCTTAGTCAACCCTAGTGCTTAGGAACACACCCAAACCAGTCCAAGTCTGTTGAAAGTGCTTACATCTTCCAAATCTTGTGACAAATGAAGATGTTTTATCATGTTTTCCTTTTTCCATGGGCTCAATATACATCTCTAGGAGAATGGCATAATGCTTTATTATTGTTAGTGTTTTGAATGTATTATGACATGGTTATTAGCCTATGCTTAAACAAAGATTCTTCGGACCAACCACATTACCGGTAATATCTCATGACAATGCTATGATATTGTAAAATCCAAACAGGGTTCAGCATTCTGGTGGTTCTTGTCTCCAGCATGTCTCAAATCATATTGTGTGCAAGTGACATTTTGCTTACTTCTGGTGCAGGGTACTTTACTGTTATATTTGCTGCTATGGAGGAATCTACCAACCCTAAAGAAGATTACATGATCAACAGTGAACCATGGCTACAACAAACGGATCAAACGCTCAGAAGAAAAATCAAATATTATTTTATGAACCCATGTGAAAAGTTTTATGCACGCGGACGGAAACCCTGGAAACTCTGTTTACAGCTTGTCAAAATTGTCATAATTACAATTCAGGTGGGTTTGTTGAATAATAATAATAATCTACATTTCAATCTTTAAAAGTTGTAATTTGTTTTAGTTGGTCTCATTTGGACTCAGTAACCAGATGGTCGTCACATTCAAAGAAGAAAATTTACAGACATTTAAGCACCTGTTTCTTAAGGATTATGTTGATGGAAGTATGGACACATATGCAGTTTACAGACAAGCAGATACATATGAACACATTAACTATGTTATCGAGCAGGTATTCCTGATTTTTGAATTTTTCCTTACTATGTACAATGTATTTGTCTCTAACATGGCCTGAGATTTACTTGTTTTGCAGTACAGACTATTGCATAATACAACAGCCGGAAATCACGAGTATGAGAAGAATGGCACTCAATACACTCCACTGGAAATATGTCAAGTTTATTACAGGAACGGTACAATATACCCAGGGAACGAGACAATTGAAATTGACGTACATGTAGAAAATGGTGAGTACTTCTTGTTTTAAACTACTCACCACAATTTGTCCTCGATCACGGATACAATTATTTTCTTAATTGTTACAGACTGCCATATTTTTTATCCAACGTACCCAAAGTTGTATGAAAGTCTCCCTGATTTTGAAATATATTTTAAAAGGTAGGCACACATCAATTGCATCAAACAAATAAAATCAAACATAAATTTTCATGTAATATTTCTTTCAGGATGCTCTCAGTCAACATTAAATTTGTCCTTAAGGCTATCAATTTGCAGACAGTGCGACACAGGGAGTTACCAGACTGCTATGACTTCAGTGTTTTGGTAAGTGAACACAAGTGACATTCAAGTCCAACGAGATGTTATGTAAAGGGGAATTTACACAGTAGGCGTAAACAGTGCGTACGCGTTTACTGCGCGCTCTCTGCGCGTAAAATTTTTTTGGAATATCTACACTGACTGTGCGCGCAGGTCCGCGTCTTCTGTCAGATGCTCTCCCTGTGTAGTCTATGGAGCAGTGTAGAGGACAGTACGAGCCAGAGGACTGATGTAGAGCAACACAAATCACATGCATGTGTTTGTCTTCATGGTCTCTGTGCGCTGGTTTGGCCAGACACAAGACTTTATGAAAGAAAAAAAACGATGTCCAGAATCACTGTAAAACCTTCCAGTCCTCCTGCTGATGTTTAGACACAAGTGCTGTGTGTGTGCAGATGTGATCTAAAGCCAAGGACCGCTAGAAAAATCATGTTTTACATGAGATTTCAATGGGAGACGCGTTGGTGCGCGCACAAAATTAGAAATCCATCCTAAATTAGAGCGCAGCTTAAATTAGCAGTTACTCACATTTACTTTCACTCAAGTCAATCAATATCCATGACACTCTTCACTCTGCGTAATTCAAGTGCATTAAGAAAACACCACTTGAGCTCGGGAAAATGTCTCTTGATTTGAGTTTAGTTTGAAGATTTTTCAATGGAAGAACCATGTATCTTTTGTTTTGTTTAACCCACAGAAGCATTATTATCCTTTAAAATTAGATATCTTATCTTATATGACTTATTAATAGTTTCATAGTCTGTTGCTCGTCTGCTGGTGAGAATAAAAACTGAAATATTTTATTTCCATCTATCCATCTATGTTCTCTTCATAAAAGATAATTATATCCTGCACAGACTATATTTTTAACTTTAACATGTTGCACACAGATCAATAGTTTATCTTATCTTATAATTACACCTTTTTTTTGCTGTAACTCTCTCAAAAAAGTAAGACTTAAAACACAGGATGTTGAAAATCACATCACAATCACAATGTTGGTCAGCCATATTGAAATTTCATATTTTGCCCTGAATTAAACATAACTCGTTTGCAGATTACATTTGACAACCGAGCTCACAGTGGGAGAATAAAGATCGACCTCGATACAGATGTGGATATCAAAGAATGCAGAGATTGGGAAGTAACCGGAGCTGGTACGTTTTTGCATCAATTCAATATAGTGTAACACGATTATGTTGAGAAATCATGTTTTGTTTCTCCACAGCGGCCAGAAACATGACCCTGACAGTGCTTTTCGACTGCCTCATTATTATTACATGCATCACTTCCTTCAGCCTTTGTCTACGCTCTGTCCTCAATGGGATTAATCTACAAAAGGTACAATTAATTTAAAATGATTGATTGTAAAATGTTTTAAAATGAGTTCTGCATTTCGTTAGTTAGTGAGTTTGCAATAATGATTTCATATTAAAACTACAACTATTGTGGTTTTCACATTAACTTCTCATGTAGTGAATCCCATTTCACACTATAGTCTTTAGATGTGTTATCATCAAATACAAACACATAGAAAATACAATTGACTTGAAGATTGGTGATAAAGAATTGAGACTAACATCCAAAGCCATCCATGATGTAAAAATAATTTCAAAAATACTATAGTCCAGTTTTAAGTATATGCTTTTTATGTTTGCCATTATATTATTATATAGAACACATATGTATTGGTCCATAGGGAGAGACCAATGTCCATGAATGTTGATAAATGTTGTACAATGTTAGAGTGCCCTGGATCATCACCACAGTCCTTTTTGTTAGACCCTCAAACAGTCTAACAGACCCTCCTGCATCAGCGAGGGAGAAACTGTAAAACCCAGCGTCTGGAATGCAGGGTTTTATATGAACTGTCCAACTTATATCCTATTCCCACTAACTTTTGTTTCTTCACATAGGAATACAATCAATACAGCATAATGTACACCCAGAAAGAGCCGCCCTGGTCTGACAAGATGGAGTTTGTGAATGGGTGGTATATTCTCATCATTGTCAGTGACATGTTGTGCATCATTGGCTCCATCCTCAAAATTGAGATACAGACTAAAGTAAAAATGACCCGACCAGAGTGTCAGCGTTCCTCTGCATCGCGCTGTGACAGCTGACGTCCCATGTGTTGTTTTGGTAGATTCTTACCAGCTATGACATATGCAGCATCTTTCTCGGGACTGGAACCATGTTTGTCTGGATCGGAGTTGTCCGTTACCTGGGATACTTCAGGAAGTATAATGTAAGCTACAAGGATTTCATTTTGGTATTAATTTTGATTTGTTATTATTGTATAAAAGTTACGGGGACCAGAAAATAATTATCCTGACTATTCTATTCAAAAAAACACGTATATGCCGGGGGCTGGAAAAAGTGAACCTGAGATTATATGACTCATAAGTGGAGCTGCATGATTTTGGCAAAATATCTAATTGAGTTTATTATTTATTTATCTATTATAGACAAACATTGCAATTGTATTTTCAATATAGCCTTTTCAGTTTTGAAGTGCGTGGGAACATAGTAAACCACTTCAACAACATTCGTATTTTAGAGAAGCTGCACAATGTTTAATAAGTTTCAGAACATTGAGACATTTCATATTTGTTGCCAATTTATCTGGTAATGTTCCTTATAGGTCTATTTTTGAGGATATCAATCTATAAAAATACGTACTTTGTTGCTTGCAAATTACTCAAATTAATTGCAGGAATTCATCTTACAACCAAACAATGAATCAAAAAAACAATATTCATAAATAATTCTCTCATTAGTGCCTCCAGCTGCCTCACTGAAGCTACAGTTTAATAAAATAATGATAAATGACAATCAATAAACAGAGCACACGCTGTCGCTATTATTATTGTATTTTTTCAGATTCTGATCTTGACCCTCCGGGCCGCCTTTCCTAACGTAATCCGCTTCATCGGCTGCGCCGGCATAATCTACATCAGCTACTGTTTTTGTGGTTGGATCGTCCTGGGCCCTTATCATGAAAAGGTGAGACTTATTCGATATTATTTTTACTGTAGTGGAACTTTGTATTTCTGGTGAGGTTTCCATGTGGTGTGATTGACATTAAAATTATAATTTGACATTAAACAGATATAATGCATTTGATTAAAAAACTAGATATGGGGCAACCTCTCCACAGATTTGATAGATGGATGGACCTTTATTGTCCCCTGACTGAAATTAATTTCCACAGATCTGACCTGTATCTTCAGCTTGTGCTTCTCCCCATAGATATGAAATGTTTAATGCTATACAAAGCAGACACATCTCTACAGCCCCCATAACAGTCATATAGCTTTAAGATTAGGAGACAAAAATAATAAAAGCCGGGGTACCTAAATCCCCATCCCTTAAATTAAAACATTTTGGTTGGATACAACAAAAAGTCCTGTACAATTAAGATGTCTTCATCTTATTAACTCTTGTGCCACCCTCGGGTCAAAATTACCCACCACAGATGATTGCAAGTAGAAGAAAATACCATACATTAGGGTAGGAAGTAGGATCTAAATGATGCAGGGCTGGTCAAGTTAGGAAATATCATAAGAATCCAGCTCTAAAAATAATTATTTATGGTATTTTTTACAGTATTCCCTGTAGCGGATCAATTTGACCAAGGATTGCACAGGGGTTGAAAAACATGGTATATGTGTATTCATAAGAAAGAACCCTGTGAGTCACTATTTGACAGTTTGGGCTCAGAGCTGAATATAGTCATCTCTTTTTAACTTTTCTGTCTGAAAAAGCTGATCCCACAGATCCCAAAACTAGTGAGAGAACAAAATTTTGTTGAGAATAAGGAACTATGCTTGAGGAATTATGCTTTAATAATTAGGTACCCATGCTTTAATGGGACTTTTGTTGTTGGCTCAGTTCCGTACGCTGAACACGGTGTCAGAGTGTCTGTTCTCTCTGATCAATGGAGACGACATGTTCCCCACCTTCAAAGACATGGGGCAGAAGAGCAGCCTGGTGTGGGTCTTCAGCAGAGTCTATCTCTACACATTTGTATCACTCTTCATCTACATGGTGCTCAGCCTCTTCATCACCATCATCACCGACACCTACGACACCATCAAGGTAAGAGTATGTATGATGTGTATTTCTCTAAATATTACTTAGAAGTAGTTTCTCAAATACTCTATAAATACAACCGTACAGTCCTGCAGAGGTGGCAAGTACTGAGGTATTTTGTCCTGGTATTGGCACTTTCTTTTACATACTACTTATTTTTCGGTCAACTTTTTACTTTTACTCCAGGCACGGATGATGCATGTAACACTTTCAAACCTACAGTACATATCTGTAATTTCTACTCTTTACATTTCAAAAACAGCTAAGTTGCTTTAAAACCTTTGCAGATGACTTCACAAAATAAAAAAAGTATAAATTCATTCATTGTAGTTGTTTTGAAGTGGATTAATTCACTGTGATTAGCCATGCTTCTATGTTCAGGTTACAGCTTTGTAAGTATGAAACACTTTGGCAACAGTTGAACCTATTTGTCATCAATAATTTACTTTTTTACCAATAAAATCTTATTAGTCAAGTAAAGAAATAATGTTTATGCTGTTACTTCAGAGAGTAGAGGACATTTACGTTTTTTCATCACCTCTGCAGCCCCGCCCACTTCACTGTCCACTCTGGGTCCAAAAATACATTTTTCCATTCAACATTTTCCCACAGGGTTCAGAACAAATAGTTTTTTTGTCCCCACAGAGTTGTTGTTTTCTAGATTGGTAACAGCACCCAAACCTCCCATGCATTGGATATCATTTAGCCTGGCCAATTCAAGCTGTTTTCAACATTAAAAAGCACAATAAGACAAAATAGTTGGTCTTGAGGTTATTCATTGAGCAAGATTTTGATCGTGTAATACAAACATTTCCAGAATCCCTATAAAATAATGTATGGATTTGTGAGGTGGGAGGTTATTGTTGAGGTTCAGGAGTGGTGTATTCCTAAGATGGTATAAATTGAAGGTGTCGGTTGAGTATTGCTGATAAAATATTGTGTTAAATGTATTTTGTAATAAACCTCATGCTTGTTACGTCGTCTCATTTTAGCAACAGCAAAATGGAATTCCAACGTCTGACCTGCAAAAGTTTTTGTCAGAATGCAATGATTTACCAAACTCGGGTTTATACAGACTGGAAGAGGACAGAAGGTGCTTTGTGGACTGCTGCGCTGATCCCAGACTCTGGTAATACATACTTTCATCCACATTTTTGATGCTTATGGTGAAATATCAGCATTTACTCAGTGTTAGCGCTAACTTTGGTTGATCTCTTTATTCAGCTCACTCCACGCAAAACTGTACAATGCGTCAAATCTTACTAACAGCAGCAATAAAATAAATGTAAGAATCAAAAATGTTTGTACCTTATTCTTTAATACTATGTAGTTTATAAACATATATAGGATAATCTCAGATGGCAGCTCAAAACCATTTCAAGATAAATAAATGCCTTTCAACAAAATTGTATTGAACTTCGGGGACACATTTGTTAGATACAGAGCATGTGGTGTTGGAGGATTTGTGAATGGAATCATTTTAAGGACAGAAGACTATTTAATGGCTCATGGTTGGAGATATAACTAGAATCAATCTCTTATTATAGATTATACATTATGCAAAATTATATTATTCGATAACTGCTAAACTGGGAGTTGTGGACATTGCGTCCACTGGTTGTTACGTCCAAAACGGCGCCTGGAGCGATATTAATAGTACGGTGTGAACCAATCAGTGTTTAAGTAGTGCCTCCTTCACTGGACAAACAAGGAACAAAACAAGATGCTGTGAACATTCAGGGACATTTAGGGACTTCTTTGTGTCAATGACCCAATATAACACATTAGTACAGTTTAGTGTGGAGTGAGCCTATTATGTATATACAGATTTTTGAACTTTGGGGGTGACGTTTTTAAAAATGCTGATAATTCAACTGTTGTAAAACTCTGTCTCTCTTCTAGGTTCAGAAATCCACAAGAGCCATCGGTGTCAGATGCCTGAAGTTCTTTAAGAAAAACGTTTGTAAATTATCCAGAAAAGTTTACTACTTATCTATTGGACCATATTAATACATAATGAATCTTTATCATTGTAACCCTTTCCCATGGGTATTCATAATTTTATGTCAATTTCTGCCTTTAACTACTGTTGGATGCACTGAAACGTTATACAATGCACATGTCACTTAAAAAGTGTCACAACACTGTATGTAAATATATGAAATGTAAACAAATGTGTTTTATTTCTCCATAGTCTGGAGAAGTAATTCAATATAAAAGCTAGAATAAAATATTTTGAAACACTAGTTGTTCTTACAAAGAAAAAAAATCCCATTCTTCTTGAAGGCATTTTTCAAATACTATAAACTTTACATTACACAGTTAAATACAGTCGAGAGGCAGGCAGTTTCCAGAGGACGTTTTCCACTGACTGTCAACATGAGATGAGTCCGATATTTCCAGTCAAAATGTGTTTTTGTTACTTCTCCTTTTGAAGATTATTTTGTCTTGCAGTTTTAAGAAATAGTTACATGCCTTCCACCTTTAGAGGCAGACACAAAATCACAGCTAAGAAAATCTTCCATTTCCAAAAAAATGTGTAAACAAAACAAAAATGTTTTAAATCTTCTGTCTGAAACCCAGGCCATCATTCCTTGCAGCAGAGTAAATATATGGCTCCATTTTGGTCGAGTACATCCTGTTATTTTAAGTTCCAGAATAGTTGTGAGAAAGGCTGTGAATTCTTCATACTGTCTCCATATGTGGGCAATATGCTGCTCCTCAGAGTCAGTCCGGTTTTGGCTGTGTGACAGCAGGGGGCGCCGTAACACGTTGCTCTTCCATCCTGTTGGACTGGGACCTCATGATCAGGCTGAAGAAATCCTCATCCGGGACAGTAGGGCCCTTGTTCGAAGGAGCGGCACACCTCTGGTCGTTCAGTCTGGAGCCCTGAACACAACACAAGCAAGAGTAGATTTAAATAAGTAACAGACACATATGAAGAAGAGCAAATAGAAAAAGTTTGCAAATAAAAAGTGAAATGCATAGATCTGTTAAGGCATTAGGATTTTCATATTCTTGGACAACAGTGAATATTTGAAATGCAGGTAAATATTTTTGTTTCCACAAAGATGTAGGGTTGACATTAAACTGTACGTCACTATAAATGTGTTGAATTGCCAGTTTTAAACATTTAAATACATTATGAAAGGTGCTTTACTTTTCAGTCCACTTAAAAAGTATAGTGCAGAGTAATATAAACAAAATTATGTAAATATCATGACATAACTAATTTAAATACTGAATATACTTTTGAGAATCTGCGGCAGGAACCTTAGTTTACAACACAGTCATGTGTCTTCGATTATGAAATAATTGGATGTTGCTTCAACAAATGTACCTGTAGGAACACATCCAACAACAACTAAAAACAACACATGTTTCCTGACCTGACACTTGACGAGCATGTCGAAGAAGACCTCGTCGCCCTCAGGCTGCTCAGCACTGGCCTCGAGACGATCGTACAGGGAGCGTGTGTGAGGGAAGTCTGCACTGGGGGGGACTGGGGACAAGGACACATTATGTCAGTATTTACATGTCACATGCTGATATGATAAAAACAAGGAATTTCCGTTCCACAACAACCAAGATAATGTTCCAGAAGTCATAACACTGCTCTCTTATAAATAATATCCAAGCACAAGTTATGTTGCTTTAAAACAGCAGCGGGACTATATTATTTTCTGCCATTTCAGTGCAGAGGCTTGTTCAATATATAAAAATGTAAGTGGTAAAGTCTGACCTGGGGCTGGGGCTGGGGCTGGCTCTGCTGAGGTGTCCGGTGTATGAAGCGGGCTGGAGGTGCTGAGACGTAAGCCAGGAAAATGGTTCAGGCTGGCTCGTTGGTCGTCCAGACGACGGGCCTGGGAGCTGGCCAGCAGCTCCAGGAAATGACCAGGATCCTGAGAGGGGGCTTCGGGATCCAAAATAGCTAAAAAGATTGAGTAATTATATGTGAAAAGGGACAATGACACATATGTGTAATAAAACATGAATAAGTCACATCCACAGGAACTTGACCTGGAGAATAATCACAACAGACAAGGAGAAACTGTATTCACATCATAAAACTACTGAAAATACATCCAGCAAGAAATTGTCCGAACCAATGTTTTTAAATGGTGTGAACACAGACAAACACAAGGGGGCGCACTCACATTTATTTTCTGCTACAGGTGGGGTGGATAAGGGGGAGGACGGGGCAGGGAGAGGACTGTGGCCATCCAGCAGAGTGCACCTTTGGTCATCCATTCTGCTGCCCTGGAAGCGGTACAGCAGATCGAAGAAGCCGTCCTCCCCAATCGTGTCCCGCGAGCTCTGCAACAGCCACAGTTATTCAGGGCCGCAAAACAATGCACAAATACATATATGTTGGGGATGGAGATGCTTGCATGGGAGGGGCTGTCATGATACACTACACTTACTCACATACCTTAGTTATGACTGGTGTGACCGCCTCAGGGGAGAGCTCAGATCTGATTTCTGGTTGACCCTTAGCAGGCGTTTGGTTGTTTTTCTGCTTTTTGCTTTTTAACCGTTGAAAAAGGAACAGCTTTGTGGACGCTTTAAGGGTGTTAGCTTTGGAAGGCTTTGGAAAGACATCTTCCTCCTGTAAATTCAGAAATTACAAACTGTTAAGACGTGAATATTTGATACTAGTGATCAATTATACACAAACAGAAGCTAACGTCACAAATAACATTAAAAGTTGGATATTATCTAGGTTGAGAGGGCGGCGCTCTTGACCAACTTTGAGTGACCAAAAACTGAGATACCAGTAAAACCTTTGAATAAAGTACAAACCCATAATGATATAACACCGTGTTGGCATTCCACAACTAGTCCCAAATAACAAGTTATTCTTTCACTAACTTTCACATTACTACAGCTTCATAGTAAATACATGGCTACTTACTGAGTGCACGGATGACTCCTCAGCCTTTTCTGGACTATGGCAGATGTTTTCTATGTCATCTTCTGTTTTGTCAGTACTTTTGTCACCTTAAAAACAGAAACACATATTTCAAGTTTAATTTTGAATGTATGTACTGTTTGGTGAGAGAACTTTGGCAAAACAAGATTAGACAACGAGGGGGATTTAAATACAAAACTCAGATTGACATTACAATGTTTGAATCTCTCTAGAGGAAAAACAAATACATACCTGGTAAGCTGTAGTCTGGGTAAACTGGAGGTAGGGCTGAGCTATTTGTATTAGTGTTATGGTAGATGTTTAATCTATTGTTGGAATTTGACTTGAGTCCCACGACTAGTCGGAGGTCAGACAAGTTCATTTTCGCAGTCACCTCGCTGCTTTTATCACCAGTCTGTAAAAACAAGTTCAGCAAAAGAAAATGTTATGTTTACGCTCTCAAGCACAGTTTCAATATGGGAGGATTAAGTTAATGTTTTTGTAGATCCCCTGGTGTCCACCAGATGGCAGCGTGGCCTTGACAAAGATGGGTGTTTGAACGTGCAGTTGAAGGTAAACATGTAAACAAGCACCTCTTTGGCGATTTCCAAGTGTTTCTCAGCAAAATACATGGCTTGTTCGTGATTCCCCAGAGCCGTGTGGGCATTTCCTAGACTCCAGTAAGCTCTTCCTTCACCCACTCTGCACACAGGCACAAACAGGCTCAGCAACTTCGGTTCACATTGTGCAAGTCGCACAATCACAGAAAACAAGGCTACATCATTATGAAACAATATGCTTATGAAAAACTTGCCTCCCGTTTTGTAGAGGGATGGAGTTCCCAAAGTTCACACCAATTATTATGTCAGCGATGGAAAGTAAAATAGTAGAACGGCTATTGGCTACATTGTATCGGGCATGTGACCTTAGAAGTGTTTGCTTATTTCTATTATGCCTTACTCTATTCTTTACCTCTCTTTTCTGACTGTTGCACTGAGCCAAAGCAATTTCATAGTCTATGACTTCCTGTTACTTACATGGCAATAAAAATGATTCTGATTCTGATTGAAATTAGTTAAATAAAAAATAAAAAATCAGACAAGATTCTGTACATTTATGATGAAGAAACACAAAAGGAAGATATATAGTATATTCAATGTACTTTAATTGGGTAGAAAAACTCAACTTTCTACCACTGAGCCTTTGCGTAAAGCAGGATTAAAATGTTCTAAACAAGAACAGAGAAGAACAGAGACAAATCTGTACTCGAGTACGGTGAAAAAACTATTCAAATCAAACGTTCACTTCCAGCTTTTGTTGTCACTTGTGACTTAATGGCAGGTGTAGAAATAAAAATACAAATCTGACAACGTTCAGACACTACTGCATACTTACTACAGTCTTTGCAAATATATAAAGAATACATCTGTATATTATTTATACTACTAATATTATAATGTCAGCCATTATTGAACCAGTATCCCATTTCCATACAGTTTCCTTTGTGTTTCTGCTGTTTGCTTAAGCCTTAAGCCACTGACTGTGAACAACATTTGGCTCCGGCCCACCCATTACTCCAACAACACACACTCGGTGACTTCAAAGCCACTGGAGGGAAAAAGCTAACAACAAATGGCAAATTGGCAAAGTTACCGGTCTTTAAGGTCCTGTGCAATGACCAGATGCTTGAGGTGGTAGTCAATGGCCCTCTCGTAGTCGTGCAGCAGCGTGTAGGTGTTGCCCAGGCTGTAGCAGGCTTGGGCCTCCACCGCTCTGTCCTTCAGAAGTCTGGCCAGCTGCAGAGTCCTCCTGAGGGCAAAGCAGATGACCAAACACATCCTGAATGAGTGGAGAACAGGAGGGCAATCTGCTGAGAACGTTTGCCGCTATTCCACAGATTTACGTGCGTCACTCTGAGCAAATGAAGGATCATAAATAAACTGTTTTTGTTGATCGATTTCACAGTGACAATAGTTTTCTGCACTTCTTTATTCGTTTTACTTCTGTACTTTTATTCTTGTTTGAATTATATACTTGTCTTGTGCACACTGGGGACTTTTTGCTAATTTATTACAATGTGGTTTTACTGCAAATGGCAAATAATTAAACCTGAATCTGAATATGACAAATATTTCCAACAATGAAGCAATTCTAAATTCTGAAAACAAAAATACACTGATATTCAAACTCAGTTATTTCATGAACCATGTTGGGGTCACAGAGACAACTGATTTTAATACATTGGCAAAGCTCAATTCATTTCTAAACATATAGATTATTTACTAACAAATGGTACTAAAAACTTTGGAGGAATAGCGGTATGTAGGTATTTCATTCATAATCACCTGTTTCCAGCTCCAGTCATTAACAATGTCGCTACAGTGTATTTCAGATTAATTTACCAATATCATTATTGCTAACACTAGGATATTTTTTATTTTATTTCAACTTGAAATAAGAATCTCTCATTGTAGTTGCAGTAAAGCCATGTCAAGTTCATTTTTATGCTGACAAACGATGTTAATTCAGCATTAGTTAATCCGTTTTTAGAGATTCGTCATTTACAAACACAAAATGAACGCTTACTATTTTAATAAGATCAGTTTGAACAGCTAATGGAGGTCCAAATAAATACTTTTACAATCTACATAATACAGTTTTGAGCTATTATTTGTATTGTAAAAGTATTTAAAGAGTCAAACTTTGTTGCTTTGGGATTGTCTTCTCCATCATAATTATCTGCAAAAACTTAAAAGAATTTACCACAAGATTCTGTTTAACTTTTATACAATTTTCTCTTTCTGGACGTGTGAATGAGTAGATCAAATAGACACAATAAAAATCCAAGTAATACTGAGAGAGAATGGTGAGTGCATCCTTACTTGTAATGACTAGCTGCCACGTCAAACTGGTTGAGGAATATGTGAGCGTTGCCAAGGTTACAGTGAGCTCTCCTCTCCGCAGACTTGTCTCCAAACTCCTTTGCGATCAGCAGCCGCTACATGAAGATCAGAAGTGTGAGAAGGATTAAGCAGAGACACTTTTAAGCTGTTCCCACCGCCGACCTGCGTTGATGGAGGCATGGACGCGCGATCTCTAAATATCAGCTGCGTGAGTTTAGTCAATCTGACGTCCTGCTGCGAAGGGGGAAAACGGAAGTGGTGGGCGGAGCTTTGATGCTAACAAGTATAATAACCCACCGCTTCTGTCGTGCCCATAGACTGTAGATATTAAAGGAGCGGTATCTAAAAATCTGGCCAAAAGTGGTACTTCAACCTATCCCAGTCTCCCTGACTCCTGTTGCCAGATATGCAGACAAATGCTGCTGGGACCATAATAGCTGAATAGATAAGAGTTTTGTCAACAACAAATCTATAACCAACATCTTTTTCACAAAGATAGAATTCCTGATTTTATTCCTTGTTTTATCGTTATTCATTTGAGAATCATAACGAGACCTTTTTTTTAGTTCTGCGGCCACATGTTACTTTACCAGTGAGATTAGCTCAACACAGTGAGTTCTGGCAACCCGGATCACAGACTTTCTGATTGGTAAAATGGTGGAGGGCGGGACATCGACATGAAAACAATAACAAGATTTAGGGGCTGTAAAACTAATTTTAAAATCAAAATATCTTGGTTGAACTTGCATCAGTTAAAGAAATCATCGAAATGAGCATGGTTTATTAATGTCTTTTGAGAGATTAGGGCCCTTTAATGATGACTTGACATGAAAATCGTATATATTGCTACTTTAAGTCGCGTTGCCACAACACGTCTGCCGCGTGGGACAAAAGTGCGTGCCGCGACGTACATGCAGTTCCTCTCATGGACGGACATCACCATTGACTTTGCAGTGAAACTCGCCGCAGCATGATCCGGTGGGAACACAGTTTTAAGGGTCATGCATTGGCTCAGGTCAGGGGTGAAGAATGAAACCAGTGACTTACTTTTTCGTGTGCTGTTACTGCTGATTTGAAGTCTCCCAACAGATAGTAGGTGTTGCCGAGGTTACCATATGTTCGGCCTTGTGCTGGTTTGTCTCCCAACTCCTTCACCATGGCCAAATTCAACCTGAATTTGAAGAAAATGCAAATGAGTTATTTAGAAAGGTATATTGCAACAAATGTGTCTTTTTTTACTTTCATTTTTAAGTTTTGGTTTTGGAATTAGTAATAGTTGCGGAACAGAAAGTATGGGCATATTACATAATTCCTTTAAAACTAGCACAAGATCAGTTGTCTATGCCTTTCCCACTTTCTTTCTTAAAATCTACTCAAAAACTGCAACTTTTCACTGTAACTTGATTGACTGATTGATCCATTTTTATTTATTCCAGCAGAATACATACATTCAGAAGTATTTACTATATTTACATTCCTTAGTTTATATGACCTTTTGTACATGTTGCCTACCACGCTTACTCTATATACTTACACATGAAAATATATACACATAAATATACAATCAAGCAACAGTATTTGCCCTAGTGTCACCAAGTGTTGTATATTTACAATTTCAATATGTATTTACAAATTATAAGCTCAAAATGAAGTGGGAAAGAAATAAAAATGTGGAGAATCCCGAGCCATGAACTCACTACATCGTTGCTCTTGTTATGGTACTCTAATAAACTATGTATGATGTTTTAGTTTTTTTCCCAGATACGATTACAGACAATAACACAGAGAAAGGTGAGCTCACTCATAGTACTGCGCAGCTTTCTTCAGAGCCACTCGCGCCTCCTCAGGAAACTCTCCGGGTTCCGCTCCGCTCCAGCAGATGCTCTTTCCTTTGGCATGGTACACATTCCCAAAATTATACAGCGCCCGAGCCTGGCCAACCTACGGCACGCACAGCACACGGAAACCAGAGTGACCAGTGTTGTAATTATACGCTTAAAATACACTGACAGCAGACTTGTTTTCTAGTGGCTTGGAAAACTATTTCTAATGTTGGTGTATCTGTTAACAAGCAACTGCACAAAACCGAAGTGTGGTTTCAGAGCATGCCGTCAGTACGTGACTGAAAAAACAGCTACAAACAGGAAGAGTTTGAAGCTTTGACAACATACCTTGTCGTACATGGCTCTGGTAATTTCCAAATGTCTTTGGCAACAAACTAAAGCTTCATCATACCGCCCTAGAAGCTTTAGAGTATTTCCAAGGTTACCACTGGCTTTGGCCTCACCAAGTTCATCTCCAATTGTCCTGAAAATGAAATAAAAAGAATGGGCTGATCAGAAAATACTTTCTACACATGAGCCAATGCTTTCCACTTGTTTAGTTCACTTCTATTCTCAAGTGCCTGCATCACCTCTGCTCTCTCAGGCAGAACAGAGGAAAAAGTACATTTAAGCAAGGTAATGCCTTTCTAAGTGCCTTTACAAATGCGATCAAATAGATTCTGTGAAAATATGGAGCAAAATATACAACGCGACATGGGAGAATGAGCAGAAGCACATTCACAACAAGGAACTAATGGACCCTAAAAACAACTCAGCTTTGTGTTTTGTAAAAGGTGCCCAGAGACTTACATTTATAAAATACTAACATACAGTACTTTCTGGATGATTAAGTGCACCTGTCATAATTGTCCTGTTTCTTAATCATTTTTACTGTTCTTTTAGTTTTTCCTTTATCTGTTGGTCCCAAAGCCTGACACTGAAGGAAAGAAACATGTTGCAGAGTATTGTGAAAGCTTGCTCTAAAACCACTGGAGGAAAACTCAGAGACCTTCACTGTTTGTGGGAGGAACAGGGGCTGAATAAAGGAAAGTGTATTCTGGCTCAGCCCAAACATCCTCTGATCGCTGACTTTGCAATGATGCCTTCAGGGCGTTGTTTTAAGGCGACAGCTCGAAAAACAAACTGTTTTTCCAATCGTGCCCTCTGCCATAAAACTGTTGAACTCGGGTAGAGGTGTTGCGGGGATCGTTGTGTTTTGTATTGCCGTGTTTTGAGCTTATATTGTACCCTGCTGCTGCTGATCGTTGATGCCTGACTCACTCATAGACTGTAAATATTATCACTGTGTGTTTGTCAAGAGTCTGTGTGTTCTGCTTTGAGATTCTGCTGACAATGAATTGCCCTTTGGGATCGATAAAGTTTTCTGAATATGAACCTGTAAATAAACCGTACCAGTGGAATCTGAAGAGAAAGGCCATTATATTTAGGCCACACTTTGATATAAGCCGCAGGTTTTCATGTTTACTTAACCAAGAGTTGGGAGTAAAATAAAGCTGATACGACTGTTTTAACTAGACACAACATTATTCAATAATGAGGTGTTTTAACGAACTGTTGACTCATGATGGACAAAGTTGTGTTAATAACACAATAAACATGAACTGTTACCTCTTTACCATTATCTATTTTGGCCCCGGGGATTCTCTACCACAATACAAATATATACATTGGCTGCATGGCTATATAGAAAGCGGAGTTTAAAGTTAAAAACTTGAAAAAGTGAGGATTGTTATAATAAGGTAAAGAAGATAAACAAGCGTTTCTTTTCTTTTTAGTCTATCACAGAAGAATCTGATCGGGACTCTGTATCTGCACAGGCTCAACATCAAAATTTTGTGAACTGAACGTTTGAGTTGGAGGATTGACCTGAAGCCTAGCGACCACTTGTGGAATCTGATGGAGATCCAAAAAAAAAACAAATAAATCAGCGCACATACCTTGTGAGGGTGAGGTCATGTCGGTGATACTCCAGAGCTTTGTTATATTCCTGAAGGTGGAAATAAGCATTTCCCAGCTGACTGTAAATGGCACTGAGTATTTGAAGGTCTTCTGTTCCCACTTGAATGGCAGATTCAAAGAAGGACACTCCGGCTTTGTAGTCTCCTGATTTACACAGCCGCTCTCCCTCTAGAGCCAGGTCCAGACAAGACATCTCCATTCTGTAGAATATAAATAAAGAATAATATAGAATGCATATACATTGAGGAGCAGGCAACTGTCTTTGGAGAACAGAAACATCTGAACGACTCTGTCCTGGCGCAGTGGGGGGTAAACCAGACAGAGCTATTTTTAGTGTGTGTGCGCCGCGGTCAGGCAATTTGGTCAACTCAATTAATCTTAAGTACATTGTGTGGCAGTTTAGCCTGTTGTCATTTAAGTTATACACTGGCTTCAGTAGTGGGCACTGGGCATCAATCTTTAAAAATTTTTTTATCATAAACAAAGAACATTAAAACGCACTATGTCTGAATGAGTTTTTCCCATACAAAACCCAAATCCGCAGTAACTCTGGAGGAGAGGAATCAAGCGCTAATTTGTCTGTTTTAGACAGTCACAAAAGCATTAGCCAAAAATTTGTTTTTTAATTGAAATATTGATTTTTGTTAAAGATAATGTGTGCACCTTTAAAGCAAAACTGAAAAGCCATTTTACAACCAATAATTCTGAATCATGGAGATGGGAAAACCCAAAGTAAACCCCAGCCTTTCCTGCCCCAAGCACTGAGTCCTGGGACTCCAAAATTAGTCAGGAATGAAAATATGAGCTGTGCACCAAAAACACAAGGTTAATTCATATATGTATGTGTGTGTGTGTGTGTGTGTGTGTGTGTGTGTGTGTGTGTGTGTGTGTGTGTGTTTCTGTGGCATTGATCTCCAGCCAATAAACATGCAGCAGGAGACATTCCAGTTTAGAAATGAACATGACACTATCAATATTCAAAGATGTATCAATACTACACCCATTATAGTTGATGTTGAAGTATATTGTATTCGACGTGTACTCAATATTTTTTTGTTTCATGAATAAATACATACAATTAAATGCATAAGTTGTGAGAAACAAAACCAGCACATTTCCTCTGTTTGTAATAGCTGTGAATGAAGGTAAATCTTTTTTTTGTATCTTGCTACTGTCTCAACAACATACTTTGAATTCCTTGTTCAGCGACAAAAGGCAGAAAAAGATTCAGATTCTGTGCCATCAGAACACAGGGGTCCATGCTCACTGTTCTGTCAGCTCCATCTTTAGACCAAGTCTTTATCCATGTCTCTGTAGCTTCATTTCCAACACTGGGGTTTGTACACCTACCTGTCCCCTCTTTTCCTTCGGATGCACTTGAGGCACTTGGATAAGTACACAGACATTCTGATCTTGTTGATGATTCTTTGTAGTATACAGAGCTCTTTTAGCGTGGCAAACTTCACCCTGCGCTCCCTCCTGTACATACACATTACGCAGCGTGCCAAAGAGTCCGACAGAAGAAAAGACCTCTTCCTATTGTGCTGTTAGCGCCTCTGCCTGACCGGCGCTAACAGAAAAAACAAAAGGTTTAATCCGCTCTGGTAAGCACGTCTTTAGCAGCCAGTGTCCAGGATGTCAGTTAGGTGAATGCAGATTTAATCCAATAGGTAGCTGAGCAGAAAAGGGGAAAAGTAACGACAGAAGAATGACCAATGCCCTTGTTTCGCCGATAGCTGCAGTTATGTCAATGTGCCATTGGTAACCTATGTCTCTAAGCCACTTGATGGTGTGTCACTTCCAATTAGTCCAGGTCTCAGTGGTAATTATAGCGACTTTAAGTGGCTCTTGTGAACTCTAAAGCCATTTGCTTAACACTCATTTGCTTAACAATCATTTGGACGCAGGTTATGTGGACAGCTTGGGTAACCTTTATTAAACCTGGGGAAATCCTAATCCTTAATATCAGTGACTTTATTTTAGGCAGTAACAACTAATTACTTAATCGCAAGGTAATTAAATAGTTGTCAAATATTACATTTCTTTGAACATCACATAGACTTTAACATGTTGAGAAGAGGTTATATGAGACAAATAATCAAACGGATTTTTTTTAATCAGGAAGTATTTTTAATGTTAATGTTCTCCAAGGGCCTCACCTGAGATCTGTTTTCGTCAAATGTATACAGAATCACATATTCAGTGATCTGTGATTATCAAAATAAATGTTAATTATAGCTACTTTAGTTTAGGTATTTGTAGTCTGAATAATCAGAAAATGTTCACCGTTTTCTTCTAACGCCCTAAAACAAACTCCTTTACTAATTTTGTCCTTTCTAATGTTGTGTAGTGGGCCAATGCAAATCCAGTGTGGACTATCTTTAATTACCTGGGTCACATGATCCTAAAGCCGCACCCTCAGCTGACCAAATCCACTCAATAGTTTGTAATTAGTAAAACCGTCCCAGAGATTGCTTTTCAGAATCAGTCAGTGAGGAGCCTTATATCAATAGTAGCAGGTAGTTTATAGTAGTATTTAAAAGCGTCCCAGGAATGTCCAACACTTTAGTTCAGCCACATTCTTCACAAGCACGTTTGTCTAACTTCCTGTCGGAAAGAACAAGGAAAACCTCTATTATTGTCCCTCCATAACCTCGCTCCTCCATACCTCCCTGAACATCTACAGCCTTACAGTCCGTCCTGTTGACTCCGATCTGCAAACTCAAATCTCCTCACGCCCACTGTTAAATCCAAGCAGCGAACCCTGGGGGACTGAGCTTTTGCCATCTCTACTAACACTCTCTGGAACTGTGATTATTCATGATTTTAATGCCATCTTGTTTTGTTCAGCACTTTGAGTTGCCTTGTGTATGAATTGTGCTATACAAATAAACTTGCCTTGCCTCGCCTCGCCTCCCGCCTCACCTCGGACTCACTAAACTCCTTAAAAAAACAGTAAAAAAAATCACCTCTTCCTCTGAGCATATTCTTAACTCTTAACTTCAGAATTTCACTCTTCATTCCAGCTTTTAGATTTTTAGTTTTGTGTGTCTGTCTGAATGTGTGTGTCCTGAACCGTGAAGCATCTTTGAGTTCTTGAAAAGCGCTGAACAAAACCAATGCATTATTATTATTAAAGAAGCAGTATGTAAAAATCTGGCCAAAAGTGGTACTGCACTCTCCCTGACTCAGGTTGCCAGATATGCAGATGAACCCAGCTGGGACCATAATATCTGGAGTTTTGTCAACAACAAATCTATAACCAACTTTTTTTTTTTGTTTACAAAGATAGAAATCCTGGTTTTAGTCCTTGTTTTATCGTTAATGATTTGAGAATCATAATGAGACCTTTTTTAGTTCTGCGGCCACATGGTACTTTACCAGTGAGATTAGCTCGACGTGGTGAGTTCTGGCGCCCGGATCATGGACTTTGTGATTGGTAAAAAGGTGGAGGGAGGGACATCAAAATGAAAACAATAACAAGATTTAGGGGCTGTAAAACTAATTTTCAAATTCGAATATCTCTGAACTACTGCTATGAGTTAAAGAAGTAATTTAAAAGAGCATGTTATAGTAATACCTTTTGACAGATGAAAAACGTATATATTGCTACTTTAACTGTGACGATCTCAATGTTGGCTGTCAGCGTGTGCACAGAGGACTTTCACTGACTTGACAAGGCTTGTATGTAATGCCTCACATTACAATAAAGTGAAGCAATCTCACTGACACATAATAACAGCATCCAGCAACCTGCAATCAGGCTGATCCTCGCCTGGGTTTTGTTTGTGACTTGAAATATTTACATGGGGCTGTGGTAGACCTCCTGCAGCATCATTAACTCTGGAACAATAGTTTCACGTTACTGCTAAGGCCCAGTGTCCAGTCGATCGTTTAGCAGTCGGGTTAAATGTTCACATATGCAGAAGTAAACAAACGCAGTAAAGAGGAAGGAAATTCATCATCATCATCCCGTAACTGAACTTAAAATAGTCTTAAACACGTTTGACTAAGACAGCAAATACTTGGAAATTAAAGGCTTTTTTAACAAAACTCTCTGGTCTTATTTGATGAACACTTATCACCAGAATGATTGAATATCCAATCACATTAATACATATAAATTCTCCCTCTCTCTCAAAAAGGAGTATAGGATTAGATAGCTTTATGACCTACGTGGTGGACAAGCGCAAGACTCTGCAAGGACTCTGCAGTCCTTGTAGAGCAGCTCGAGTCCTGACTAGAACCAGGAAGTATACGACCACATTAGTCCGGTCCTCAGGTCTCTGCACTGGCTTCCTGTGGCTCAGAGAATAGACTTTAAAACAGCTCTGCTTGTGTACAAGTCTCTCCATGGCCTCGCACCAAAATATATTAGTGACATGTTAGTCCCATATGAACCAGCCCGGACTCTGAGGAGCACAGGGACTGGACTCCTGTTAGTGCCCAGAGTCAGAACTAAACATGGGGAGGCTGCTTTTCAAATTCATGCTGCTAAAATCTGGAACAATCTTCCTGAAGATGTGAGACAGGCCTCCTCTCTGACAATGTTTAAAACCAGGTTAAAGACAGTTCTGTTTAGCTGTGCATACATCTGAGGGATTTTATATTTTTAGCTTTCTTTTTAATGTTCTGTGATTATTTATGATCTTAATGCTTTCTTATTTTGTTCAGCACTTTGAATTGCCTTGTGTATGAATTGTGCTATGTAAATAAACTTGCCTTGCCTCTGTGTATCCATGTTATGACTATAATATACTCTGAGTGTCTTTGGATGACACGTATGCCTTTCGATGTGTGACGTAACAATGACTATATAAATCATGTGCTGCCTTTATTCTTTCTGGGGAAACTGAAACCACTGGAACCTGAGAGAAGCCTAAACAAACTTCCGGAGCTTTGGCGCGCCACGATCCGTCTCTGTCTGTTTCATTCCTGACAGGAGAAAGAAAATCTATTCTGAACCTCCAAACATATTTCTCATATATGTCTCTTAGTCTTAATCTATTTTTATACTGGTACCAAAACTGAACCCTGATATCAATACAAATATATAACACCCATCTCCAATAGAATTAATATGGTCTGATAGATAGATACTTTATTGATCCCCATAGGAAAAATGAAGGTGTCCAGTAGCAGCAAAAACACATCCATCCACACAAACAAAACAAATTAATTGACCAATCTAAAAAGTTAAAAATAATAATTATAAAATAACAAAAAACATTGTAAGAAAGTATTGAGTTTTGTATCAAGACATCAATTCCATTTGACCAAAGCCCTGTCAACCTCTGTATGATATGCAATGTATGATATTTAGTTAAATCAAAATGTACCTGGCCTGACATACTATCATAGTGAGAACTATTTCAAATACCAATTCATTTTAAGCACTCAGCTTTCTTAAAATGATGTTTAGTGAGCCTACCTGTGTCTTATTTGTAATAGAAGGTCCTTGTCCAAAGCACAGTGCAGCAGAACTATCCCAAACATGACTCCAGGACCGCAGGAGACCCTTCACCTGCCCCAGCCCAGGGAAAGACAACATCTTCCACCAACTGATAACGTCCTCATCCCTTTATGTCAGTTATCGAAAAACACTGAGCAAAGCCATGCCTGGACTGTGACTAACAAAGGAGGAATCCAGCCGTTACACTATCTGCACCCGTGTTATCTCTGAAACTGGAGAAGTGGAGCCAGCGTAAACATGGATGCCCACTATCACATTTACAAGGCTTTATACCGCTCTCAAAATCAACCAAGGTGATGGGAAACGGGCTTTGAACCTGCAACCTGCAAAAAGAGCATCAAAGTTCCAAACAAGAACTGATAGATTACAGGTATTACAGTAATTTTATATCACAGGGAACATGTTTTGTCCAGATCTATAAATGAAATTAAAAGGCTCATTCCAGATGACAACTGCTATAAATCAGATTACAGAAATAGAGTTTTCTTGATAGATTTAATGACAGCAATAAATTCACCTTTCATAATGCTTTCACTGAGCTAAAAGTCCACAGTCTTGTGTTACTTTAAAGTCAGTGAGAATTGTCCAGGGCTGTAATGAATTATTATTTTGATACTTGAATATTTGGCCAAATATTCTTTTGTCTAATTGTTCGAATCCTGAATTAAATATTTGTGATTAATTGATCTGTTACAGCCCTAGTGTTGTCACAGCATTACAGTGTGTTCAATGTTAAAAGTACGTATTGTTCTTCTAATTAGACAAAAGTGTAAAGAAGAGTTAACAGGTGAAGGTGTGACGTGTCTCTTATGACGAGGCGAGGGGTCTTTCACCCTGGCTCACAGTTGGGACTCACTTCTGCAGAGTACACAGAGCAGCAGGGGGCGTGGTTTGTCTGACGGATAAGCCCGATCTGTCAGACTGGCCGCATCCAGTAATGACAGCTGATGAGAGACACGTCACACCATCACAGGTCACCTCTGACGCAGGTGGAAGTCTACAGCCCAAACATGT